TGTGGTTTGGTAGCAGAGTGCGTTAAGCCAATGCTGCCTGCCTGCTGGGGCAGAGGGACCAAAAATTCATGTACCCAGTGAGCTGCTGGGGCTCTGCATGGCTGGGGTGAGCGGTGTGGCTGAGCAGGAGACCAAGATGTGGGTGAGCTGCCCTGGAGACCAGCCCAGGGTGTAGGAGCCATTTGTATCCCTCATCAAAGGCGCTAATGTTTGCCAGCTTGCTTTAAATAAGAGCCACAATCAGAAGCACGGGGCTGCTGTGGTTCTGGCACGCAGCAGCCTCCAGGTGCCGGGGGAGGACGAGCATCTCTTGGCATTTGCTCCCTGCTCACCAGTTCCCCACTTTCCTGCTGGTGTAGTGGTGGGGCCAGCTCCCTGCAGCTTTATAAGAAGGAACTGTCTGTGGATCCTACATCTGTCCTTTCGCAGAGATAATAAACTCTTTGGGGTTTGTCCGGGGAAGCTCCCCATCTCCCAGCATCCAAGCTCAACATCTGCTTGGCAATTGCTGAGCTCCTTTCCCAACCTGCTAAATAAAAGTATCTTTAGGTCAACCACCGAGCAACACAGACCAACCTGCAATCTGGCCGGCCCTGCTCCATCTCCCATCCATACATTCAGTCTAATTGATTATTAAATCATATTTGCTGATAAGTGCGGGATGTAATATCTATTATACAGCTGTTAAGCCCCAATTAATATGTTTTAACGATCAGTCATTTACTGTGCAATATACAATTAACATCCGGTATTAAATCTTGAATTAAATGCATGTTTGGGAAGCTAAATTTGGAGTGCTGAACGTGGCTGCGCTGCAGTAAACAGTGATCATCGTATGGAGTAGACAGTGCTTCTGTGCTGTGAGAGGGCATTCGTCACTTCTCTTGGAGATCTTGGGCAGCACAATTAGTAACTGAAGGGTTTTCTCCAGGCAAATACAGCCCTGCACCAGGCTGTTTGCCCCGAGGGCTATTGGAGGTGCTGCTGAGAGCTCCCTGCCTTTATTCTGTGCTCTCGGGTGCAAGCGTTGGTGTGCGGGTGTATAGTGGCAGCAAAAGCAGCAGATTGTGTGTTCAGCCACCTCCACAGAGTTGTTCCTCCCCATGCCATCGCTGTTCCTCAGTGTAGCTGCAAAGGAACCTGCGGAGGCATTCAGGGACCTAATGACGAGGTGGAAAACTCCCGTATTTCCTTGTAAACCTGGCAAAAGAGCCAAAGTCTTTCAGCATGTGGCTGAGACCGTGCGTTTCCCTTCTACAATGGCACGTGCAAGCTGCAGCTCGGTGCAGGGGTTTGCTCTCCCTCTGGCTGGCAGGGAAAGGTGCCCGTTGCCTTGAGGAGTTTGGGTGCAGAGAGTGGTGATTGTGGTCAATGCGCTGCGAAGTGTTACCCCTGTGAGCCACCAAGAGGTGTGGAGGCACAGAAATGATGCAAAATTTGGACCTGGGACTTTTTTTATTCATGTGAAAGACGGGGTCCAAAATACACCCTTGGTGCCGCTGTTGTATTTGTCCCAAGGAGCGAGCCCGTGTCATTTAGCAGGATGCAGAGCACCTGGGCTGAAGGACCCAGCTCAGGGTCCCTTGTGAACACGGCGCTCACCTTGCCCGTGAAAAATGTGCCCGAACAAAGATGAAGAAAAATCTCCCCCTCTTCCTCTTTCTTTCCTCGCACTTGGGGGAGCAAATGAAGATTGATATGTTTTTCTTCTGGTCTTGCGGTTAAAATATGCGGCGATGCATCTATGAGGAAACGAAGCCTTTCTCCCATCTGTTCTCCGAGAGCCCCGTCTCTCACCCCGTCGCTTTGCCGGAGCAGCTGTAACCCTGTGCAGGGGCAGCTCTGGAGGCACGGCCGTGCTGCTCTGCCTGCGAGGGGGCTGCCCTGTGCTGCCTCCCAGCAGCCTCCCTCCACGGCCACCTTGCTTTCTGCTCACCTTCTGCACTCCTTAGTTTCATATGGGCTTAATTTTGAGGGAAATATGTGCTGTCCCTTGGAGGGCTTATTATTATTATTATTATTATTATTATTATTATTATTATTATTATTATTATTATTATTATTATTATTATTATTATTATTATTATTATTTTTTCCTGGAAAATCAATGCTTTCTCTCCTTGGAAAGTGAAATACTCCAAAGTCTGATCCACCTTCTGCCTTGCGTGCGGTCTCCTTCCAAAGTTCCCAGATTTTCCTTTCTGGACTTGATGAGGGTGACCAGAGGTTTCAGAGACCTTGCTCTTTCATGTCATGGTTTTGCACATTTTTCAGTGCTTTGGTTCACAACCGCCCTTCCTCGGCAGTTATCTCTGAAGGAGAGGAGGGGACAAACAGATTCAAGGCTTGGGAAAAATCTCTTTCAGAAGAGGACACGGTGATGTTTTGGTGATGGACTGACATAAATGTTGATGGGAAAACATGATCTTTTTAATGAGTGACCCAGACAGTGGGCACAGAGGATGGGTGCAGTGGAGGAAGGCTGGTTACCTCCTTGGGATGTGAGCATCGGGCTGTGACCTCCCGGACAGGCTGAGCATCTAGGGCTGCTTTTCAAGGGAAACGTTTTTTCCCAGGAGGGGAGCTCAGAAGGGCCGGTTCCCTCAGGGATCTGCTTCCCGTGCACAAAATCTGTCATTTAAGGCACTATCCCACACCTCAGCTTGGGTGGTCCGGGCAGGGTTAACAGGAGTGTCCTTCACATAAACGCGCTGCCTTTCTGCTGAATCCAGGTCTGGAGGCGAGGGGAAAGGGCACAGCCAGCACGTGCAAGCTGATCCCCTCTGGAGACCGGAGAGATGCATTTAAGCAGCACAGAGGAGAGGAAATCTGATTCTGGTGGTGACGGCTCAGATGGCCACGGCAGCTCCGGGCTGGGAGCAGTGGCTGGAGGGTGCTGAGCTGGTGGGGAGAGCCTGGCCCCATCCCCTCCTCTTTACCCTAGGTCCAAAGGCACGGGATGTGATGGGAAATATAACTGGCACCTTGGTCTATGTTTACCCCGACAGCTCCAGGGCTCATTCTTAGCCTCCTACTTAGGGAAATGTTTCCCTTCAGATAAGCAGTCAGGCCATAATGTCCCATGTAAGTGCTTTAGAAACATCTTTTATTATTATTACTTGATGCCCTCACCCCTGTTCTCCTTTCCTCTGTCCCTTTTTTAGTTTCTTTCCCACATTATGTTTCATTTTTTATCATCTGCCTGGCCATCTGTGCCTCCCCACTTCCTTTCCTTGGAGCTTCTCTAAAGGAAAATAATTTTTCAGCAGCTCCTGGATCTTGTGTCCAAGCCCTGTGCCTTTCTTGGGGATCCAGGCTGGACACAGTGCTTTAGACAGGATTTAGAGCAGAGTCTCCAACACAGATTTTTTTTCCCGTGAAGCCTAGAAAAGCCCCCCTAAAACTTCTCTGCTGGCTTCAGAACAATTTCACAACAAATGCATGAAGGTGACTTTCACAGTCATCGGTGCCGGGCGCTACCTTGGGCTGTGTGTCACTGCGGGATCGAATTATCCCAGCCTTTCAACGTGCTCATCCTTGCAAGAGCACCGTGGGATGTGGTTGTTCCTTAATATCTTGTAGATAAAGAACAGGCACAGGCAGGGCTGGGTATTTCCCTTGGTATTTGTTGTGCGTTCTCCTAAAAGCTGCTCGGTGGCAGAGCAGCTCTGAAGTCACTCAGCTGGCGTCCTGCACGCTCAGCAAGTTACCCGTGATCCTTATCCGTTTCTGAAAGCCCGTCTCAGGTTTCCTTCAGTGCCTGTTAGCCTTCTGCCTGCTTTCGCTTAGAGATCACCCAAATAATAGACACATCGAGGAAGCATGGGAGCCAGCTCTGGCATCACGCAGGGAGCCCAGAGCTGCCCTGGGCTCTTCTGCAGGCTGTTAGCACCCGCGATGGATGCGCTTCCCCAGCTCCCTCCTGCTGGGGGATGCTCTCCTTCCCCTTGCCTTGCTGCTGGAAGATGAATGGAGCGAGGCTTGGAGAAGAGGCAGTAAATTATTCACTGCTCAATGCCACAGGGAGCCGCAATTAAAGATTGAAGGGGAAGGCTGGTGGCGGCGGCACCCAAAGCAACCCTGGCTTGCCAAGGTGAGCTCTGACCCTGGGGACCTGGAGTCTGGGGGCGAACATTTTTCATCTCATTACCGCAAACAGGAGGGGAAGACCCACAGCACAGCTCCTGCTGCTGCAGCAGGGCTGGTGCCTGCCCCTCGGATGTGTTTGAAGTTGTGTAAGAGGAAAGGAGAGTGCCAAGCATCAGCTTGTAAAGTGCGTGCTTCCCAGGGCTTTCCCTTGCTCTGCCTCCAGGAGCTGTAACCTGAATATCCTCATTTTGCATCTTCACCACGAATCGCTGCGGTGCCCTGCTCCCAAAAAGCTGGTGGTGCCCAGAGTTGTCATGGAAAACTGCACCAGGAGCAGGGACCCTGCTCGGCTCCCAGCGATGCCCAGCAGTGGGTCCCATCTGCTGCCTTGGATGTGTAAAATTTCTGGGAAAGAATAAAAAATAACTTTATCTCTGGAAAGAGAAGAAAAGGAAGTGTGAGGGTAGAGCATGTGGAGAGGTTTTGCTGGTTGCCACAGGCACCACGAGGCTCCTGGGCTGCTGCTGGTGGCCACCGTGGGCAACCTGCAGGCTGCAGTCACTGATCTTGTTGGTTTTTCCATCAAAAGACCAAAATGAGCAGCATTGCGCAGAGCCTGCAAAAGGCTGAGGGCACCCATGGGTGCTTCTGCAGCTTGGCTGCTGCATGGGAGCCCGTCAGGTCTCTGAGCCTTCTTTTACCCCAACTGCAAAGTCTCCATGGTCAGGACTCATGGCCCTGAAGTGTCACCAAGGGGTCCTGCTCTGGGCATGGAGACCCCCGGCATGGTTTAAGTGCCCGTTTAAATAAAGCAGGAAATAAAAATGCCATTTTCACCTCTGGCTGATGCTGCCAAAGCGGTGCCGGGCTGACTTCACCTCCTGACCCCGTGTTCCTCTCCCCCTCCCTAGAAAATGAGTTTCGGGGCGAGCTGCTGAACCAGAGGTGGACCTGCGGAGAGAAGATCAGCAGCTGCGAGGGAGCCGCCAGCCTGCACGGCACACGCATCAAGGTGAGCGGAGAGCCCTTCCTCCTCCACGAGCATCCTCTTCCTCGCTGTGGTGACAGCAGGACAGGGCCCCACGGTGTCACAGCCCTCGGGGACCAGCTGGGCCAGGGGGACGGAGCCTTTCTGGCACCCAAACCACAGGCAGGAACTGGGCGGCTCTGTCTCCTTGTTAAAACCAAGCCTCCTGCGTGGTGCGTGCAGGCAGAGAGGCTTCCAGCTGGCGAGATTTGGCTTTGGGGCCAGTTATTTAAATCCTTCCCTTCCTCTCTGGTGCCATCCTTCAAGGACAGCTCAGGATATTTAGCTCAGTCCCAGGCCCGTTAAAAGAGACCCTTTCTGTGAGGGGCCGGCTGGTCGGAAGAAGCCCCTCGCGGGCCAGGTGAAGCCATGGTGTGCGCCGAGGGGACAAGCGAGGCATTCATCCTGCCCGGCCACAGAGCTGCCCATTTACTGCTGCAGCTGGGGCTGCTGAAAGGGCTCCAGCCCGCGCTGTCAGAGCCTCTGCCAGCAGATGAGGAAGCTTTATTTAAGCACAGAACGGGGCTGCTCGTTACACAAGTGATGCTTCCTGCCTGATTTTGGACTCTTGGTAATGAAGCACGGGCTGGGAGAGATGGACAGACCCCCAGGGCTGTGGATGGAGCCCTCCTTGGGTGACTGATGTTAGCCACTCATCCTCGGTCCCCAAATAAATGGAGCCCCAGGAAAAGTCCAAATCAGCAAAAATCCCCCCTTAGCAGCATCCTTCTTGGCTAACAAGCTGTCAGCTGCGTGCAGGTGTCGCCAGGAAAGCTCACACCTTCTTAGAAAGCAGAGTAAGCAGTTGTTGCTATATTTAAAAGCGGCTCAATTAAGGCTTTTCTATTGAACCTGCCAAATAAGCACTTAGATTAGATTTAATAAGATTGTTGTATGTTAATAAAGCGATGATTACAAAAGGTAATGTGCCTAGTACCTGGTGCTCATCTAGTGCTCTGCCTCTGCCAAGCACGTTGCTAATATTAACCATTTCTCTCAACCCTTACCACTCTGCCCAGCTGTGCTTTAACACAGAGAACCTGGTCTGGGGCCAGGAGGAGCTGGGAGGGGACATCCAAAGTGGGAGCAGGATTTGGGGTGGTCCTGCAAAGCCAGGTCGTGCTGAGAGCACCAAATAAGCACGGACTACATTTATATGTAGCTTTCCATGGTAGTTATGGCTCGTAACCTGCAGGATGTGCAGCTTGAAAGGACAATCAGATGTGGGACACTCTTATTTATTTTTGTCCCTAAAGAAGTCTGGGTGCAGGGTAAAATTTCCTTTGACAGGTCTGAAATGAGAGGCACTCCCTGCACACATCCAGCTGCGTCTGTCTGCCCAGACACTCCTGCTTGCTCTTGTCCTGGCCCCAGCAGCTGGAGGAAAAATGAGCCTTTTTCTCCCAAATCTCCATTCCCCTGTGCCTTGGAGAGCTCCCTGGCCCAGCAAAGGCTGGCAGCTGCTAGGACAGGTAGGGCTGGCGGTGACGGGGCCGCCAGAGCCCCTCGTTGGAGATGTGCTCTCATAGTCTCGCTTCAGCAACCGCCTCAGCTCGTGCCACTTGAGGATAATCTTATGAAAATGGCAGCTTATTACCGAGCCTGAAAACAATGGGGTTGAGGAACTGCAATTTTTTTTTCCCTCCCCCCACCCCTCCTCTTTTGGCACGAGAGCCGTTTGCGCATACCGAGCCACTTAGGTCTCTGTGCGCCTGAAATGGCGTTTGGATTGCATGTTGTAGCACTTCCAAACAGTCAAGAGGAAAGTAGATGTCAACTTAAACTGCTGCCCGTGAAATCACCCCAGCCTTGAATGCCGGAGCTGCAGAGGCACACGGTGCAGCTGTGGCTGTGCCAAACGTGATGCTCTGAGCATCTTTTCTGGTCCGCTTCACTCGTGCGGAGGATGCCTCTGCTACAGAGCATTAGCGCTCTGTAAATGTTTAATTTGCAGCATTGTTGTTGTTTTCCTTTTTTTTTGGGGGGGGTGGGTGTAGGACCCCTTTTTGCAAATGAAAACTGGCAGCACAGCTGAAGGAGGCTGGTGGTGACAAAGCTACAGGTTTTAATTTGGGGGAGAGGGCGAAGGTACAAGCTGTGGTTTTGCAATTAAAGATGTCAAGGCGAAATCCTCCCCCGGCTCGGAGCACAGGGTGGCCTTTCTCGGCGGCAGCGAGAGAGCAGAAGGCAGACGGTAGCTTGTACAGCTGAGGACGGGGCTCTCCATAGGTGAAACGTCAGGAGGATTTAAATCAAGCAGCAGGGGAAGACCCTAAAGGAGGAGGGGGAAAAAATAAACAGCCCCAGAGTGCGGTTATAAAATAGTGCCTGGGAGCTACGGGGCTGCTGCAGAGGCTTTCAGCCACTTTCAGCGCTTTTTAAAAGAAGAGCGAGACTCTTGAGCAAAGAGTACTTCTTCCTCCATCCCCTCTTTATTTATTCTTTAAAAATTAATAGCTAGAGAAGGTGCAGCGGGACGGAGCCCTCTGCATTTCCTGCAGTGGGCGGTGATGCCATGGCACTTGGCAGAGGGGGATGTGGAGACCCAGCTCCAGGTCTCTCCACCCCTGTGCAGCAGCCAAGGGGGATCCTCGTGGGGTTAAAAATAAAACTTAAAATAATCAGGCCAGGCCATTCAACCCCGTTTTTGCTGCCTGACTTGGGTTGGCCCCATAGCCCCTCACGCTGGCATCCAGCTGGACCCTGGGGCTAGCTCGGGCTGGTGAGGCAGCCCCCAGGTCCAGAGGGAGCTGGGGGACCACGGTGCAAATTAATCAGACCATTAATTGTCCCTGGTGAGAGCCTGAAGGAGTCTGACTGCTGGGATAAGGTTATTGGTGGTGGTGTTTCCCACTCACCACCCTTCTCCCTTCCCTTAACTCATCCTGGCTTTGAACCCAGCCCCGAAATTGGGCAGTGAGAACTGGGCTGTCCTACCCTGCATGACCCAAGAGGAAAAACCAAGAACAAAACCACCATTCGACCCTTCTGTAAAACATCACTTCTTCATCATTTTCTCCCCTACCTGCTGAGCAAATCTCAGTTTTGTTTTCTAATTGAGCAGAAGCTCTCTGCGTGTCCCTCAGCCGCAGCTTCACGCAAAAGGCTTTTTTTGCAGCATCCGCAGATAGGCGCTGATGGAAGTTCTGCTGCTTCCAGAGTAAAATAAATATTCCTGCTGAATCCTCACCTCTCTTTGGCCAGCTGAAGGCTTTTTCAGCGTGTTTATTTTCTCTGAGCTCCGCGCTGCTCTTGAATACATATAAAGTATTACTGCTGACCGTGGGGAATTTCAGCATGGCCCTTAATGGGGGATTTGCATAGAGCTGTCGAAGCCCCGGCGCACCTGGGTGTCTGGGCACGGGAGGCTTCAGTGGTTTTATGTTAACGCCTCGGTCTGCCTTCAGAAAATAAATGTGTATTAAGATGAGAAAGGAGATGAAAATATCAACCGTGTAGGTGCTCCGTAAAATTAAACTTCGGATCCGTTCCGCTGTTCCCGCACCTTATTGCTGTAGTTTTGGCAGCAGAGCCAGACAGCTACTGCACCAGGAGGCTTTTAAAATTCACCTGGTGCTCAGGTTAAACTGGCTTTCAAGTTTCTCTCTCCGAACCTCGTTGATTTAGGTGTGCAGCATCAGGACACCATCGGTACTGTTTGTGTTATGTCGGGAAGTTCCTTAGCGCAGGGCAAACGTGGTAAGAAATTGTCCCTGCACCAAAGCACCTTCAGAGAGAAAAGGGCAGGAGGGAAAAGAAGCCCAGGGGAGGAAGGGATGCTCTCCAGGTTACCGTGCCTGGCAGTGACAGGCCATGAAGCTGAGTCCTGATGTGAGCATCCTGACCCAGTGCAGGGCCTGGTGTCTGCCTGATTCTGTGCTTTTGGCTTAGGAAATCCTCTTGGTGTGTGAGAGAGCATCCAGCCACGAGGCGAGGAGGGGCTGCACAACCCCTGCCTTGTTCTAGCTGCTCTAACATGCACTGGGGCCAGCACCTGGTAGAAACAATTTATTTTCAGGTTTCCTTACCAATTAATCGTGTGCTTGTGTGTGCAGGGTTTTTGTTAGGAGCTGGATTTAGGAAGGAAGGACCCTCCTGCCCCTTCTCCGCAGACCCTGTGCTCTCATTGCCCAGGGAAGACAGTTCCACCTTGAAAGAGACGTTGAAGGCAATGGGAAGGATTGCTCTGTTGAGGTGTTGTGGTGTAGAGAGGAGCTTGGTGTTAGCTCAGGTGTGATATCGATTTTTTTTTTGCAGCGGGATCTCTCCCGTTTATAAGCAAACAGCCGCAGCCTGGCCCACCTGCTTGTCATCCAAGGGCAGGTTTAAGAAAAACGAAGTTTTGCCCTGTGTTGCCCTCAGTCCCAGCCCTCCCTCTGGGCTCTTTTGAAGACAGGCTGTGAAACCAGAGCCACGTCCATCAGCTCCGCTGGCCACGCAGCCAGCACGTCACAGGCACTGCCCGCAGCCCACCCTGCTCTCGCTTTGAATAATTTATCCGCAGGAAACCCGTATTGCCAAGGCACCAGCCCAAAGCGTGCCAGTTCCCTGGGAAAACTGTCAAAGGGAAAAAAAAAAAAAAAAAAAAAAAAAAGCCCTCTCTGAAATTCATTTTGGTTGAACGCAGGCTCCCAGCAATCAAACGTATCAGGCGCTTTGTCGGCGCGCGGCGTTAGCTCGCTCAGCGCACGCCGGCTTTGAAAGGCTCATAAATGTAATGAAGTCCCTTTGACACCTGCTCCTCTCCGCACTTTAAACGTAAGCCATTGGTCCACAGGGAACCGGGGCTTTAAAAATAGAAATTATAGTAATTGTCTGCTGTGTTATTGGGAAGATTGTAATAAACGCGGAGCACAACACCGCGGTGCCACGAGCTGAATGCTGACAGGATGCATAAATTGCTCCAGGTTTTGATTTTTTTTTCCTTTTCTTGAGTGTTTCTATCCAGCAAACCACAGAAATGAAGGTGTGTTAGTGCCTTGCTGCCAGAGGGAGGCAGTGGGAGGGAGAGAGGCGCTGGGGAAACTTCAGCCCTCGCTTTGAGGGGTTTCCAGCTGTGGTGCCCCATCGGCTGGGACCTCCATCCACAATCCCTGCCTGCCAGGGATCCATCCAGACAGTTTTGAGGCGCTCGTAGGGTCTTGGAGGCACCTACTGTGTGTGAATTGTCCCCGCCAGCAGTGGGGCAGCTCCCATGTGTGTCCTGTCCCACCTCCATTGGGGTACCAGAGGGTTTGCTTTTGAGTCTCCTCGTTTTGGGGTGGCACAGGAGCTGGTCTCGTCCATATGAGACCTGTAAAGGATGCTCCAAAGAGCACATGCCAAAGAAAATTTATTTTTATTGCATCAAATTGCACTCAGAAATCCTTTTCCCCCTTTTCTCTCTTTCCCAGGAGGAAATCTCCTGGCGTGTAATGCTCTGCAATAAAACCTAAATCATCTCCCCGGTCTACCCAGATCCCATTCACCTCCCTTCTCATACCCTGATCCTCCACACCCCATTGGCATTTGCTGCCAAACACACCCGATGACTCAGATTTTGTGACACTGGGATTTTCATCCCTGCTGCGGGGCTGCACAAAGAGATTTGGGCTGCCCGCACAGGAGTGGCTGCAATCGCCTTAGGGCAGGACAAGGGCAGGAGACGAAATCGGCTCTCAGGCCCCTTCAGCAGCTTCCCTGAGAAGCTAATTGCAGTGCCACTTCTGTTATCCCGGCCAGACCTTCTCCCCTCACCTGGCCATCCCCTCCTTTTGCTGCCACCTCAGGCAGGGCTGATCTCAAAGCTCCCACCTCCGCCACGGTGCGGGCACGGAGACAGCGCCGCAGCCACGCGCTGCTGCATTCAGCCCTCCGCTACCTTGTGGCACGCTGTGATGTTTAATTAATAGCGAGTGCTTTGAAGTCCCTGGCGTTACTTATTCATGCCCATATTCCCCGCAGACCCTCCCGTTTGATGTCCATGTTGCAGAGGTTATTTAGATGCACCCTCTGTGTCAAATCTGAGCACAGCGGAGAGGTTGCTCTTTAGAGCTCTACATGAGAAGTTGCCCTTCCCGGGCACAAGATCAGCTTGACCCAATATTCAGAGATTTCTGAAGGCTGAGATGTGCTGGCTGCTCCCTGAGTTGCTCACAGTAGTTCTGAATTACCGGGTTTGGTGTAAATACAGGGAAATTTGGTCTGGCCTTAGCAAGGGAATTGTTTGCCTCTATCGGGGTGTTTTCACCTGCCTGTTCGTCCCTCCCTGGCACCCCCAGCAGGGAGTCCTTGCTGTGCCCTGGGTTGGGGAAATTAATGTAAGACTGCTAAATCTGGCAATCCAAAAGGAGATTGTGCCTTCTGCCTTTCAAATGAATAACTTTGGGTTGAACGATAAAAGCAATGCAAGAATTGTCTATCTCAGGTATTTACCCAGAGCAACAGCCATGTGTGCAAATTGCCTTTAATGATAGTTTTCACGTTGTCTTTTAACCAACACCTTCTCTTTCCATCCCAGATGAGTTTAGAAAATGACGATAAGAGAGCACGCACGCGATCGAAGTCTATCAGAGGTGAGCAGCTGATCATCCCCCTGCGCGGGGAGGTGGCACCCGGGCTCCCTGCACTTTGCTTGTTCCAAAAGGGCTTTGGTTTGTCAGGTCCAGGCTTTAAATGACACACACTGCCTCTCCTCCAGCCCCACTGAGATTTGTCCACGAGCCTGGAAAACTCCCAGCTACAAACCTTTACAGCGCCTCGTAATATTTAACCCTCCCTCCCTGCTTCCCTCATCCCCGCTGCCCAAAGAAAAAAAAAAAAATTAAAAAGCAAAAAGCAAAAGCCCTTTGCATGCTTTGCTTGATGGGGATCGCAATCGCTGTAGCTTCAGATCAGCTCCCGGGGCTTTCATCATGCACACTCTGCCAGCGGCTTTGAAGTTGTACATCTGAGAGCGCCTGGCAGAAGTAGTGCATGCTGCAGAAGCAAACAGGGCTGTCTCCCGGCAGGGACACGAGGACAAGTGACTTGTTAATGCAAAGCTTGATTGATATTTATTTTCCACCTTTAAAAAATTGCTCAGTTCGCTCTTCACGTGTTTCCTCTCCGGGAGGAGGCGAGGCGGTCTGGTGCAGAGCACGGTGCATCACCTCGTGTGATGGGCGCAGGGCATCCTCGCAGTATTTATTCCTTCTTGTGGACGTGGATTTGATTAATTGCGAAGGTGGCTGGCAGCGAGGGATGAATGGTGCTGGCTGACACGAAGTGCGAGGGCTGCAGGGGTTGCAGCTTCATGCACGCAGCTGTGCTGGCCCACCTCACTTTGTGCTGGCCTGCCTTCCTCCTTGCACTTTTCAGCATCTTTTTTAAAACCAAAGGAAAAACCAGATGCTGCCAATTGTGCTGAATCAAGCTGGATTATGTGGGTTTTATTGTCTTGCTGCACGTACCTAAAAGTGCTCGCTCAGGTTGCTAATGAGAGCAGCCCGATTCTATTTATTTTCTCACACCCTGCCTTCGCCACACTTGAATCTGGGTTTCTGGATGTGAAAAGGTAATTTATCGAATACACCGTGGGATTTGCCACTGCCTCCAGTTTGTTGAAGCTTGTGAGTCATCCCACCGGGAGCTGGATCCCAGGAAACCCAATTAGCTCAAACAAATTGAGCAAACGTGTTATGGTTTTTAGCTTGGGCAAATTTAGCTTGTGTTGTGTCTTTTTTTCCCTCCTGATTATTTGGATTTCTGGCTGAATGGAAGGTTTTTGGCACCGACGCGATGTTGGTGTATGTTGTTACTGTAAGCAGTGGGATGTCCTCTTAACCATGAGTGGGGAATAATCCCTATCCCCCAAAAAACTATTGTTCACTCTAAAAGCCACATGTCTGAGCATAAGGATTTCCAAGGCAAGTGTATGATGGCACGTAGCAAGCATTGGCAGAGTGGGTTGTCCTTTCTTGCCCAAGTGGGATGCCTCTGGGTGCAATAGGAATGGAGCAGCTGTAGGAGAGCATCCCCCAGAGAGGGGAGGTGCCCCACGAGGGCTCAGCCCCTTGATGTGTTTTTGACCATGTCTTTGTTTCCATTGCTGCCTCCTGCCCCTTCGGCCAGTGCCCACGGAGCTCATCGGCCAGGAGGTGAGGTAAGGACCCTGCTCCTCCTCCTCGGTGGCGGTGGGAGGGATGGAGACCCCAGGCTGGGGTCAGCTCGGGTGAAACCCTGCTGCTGCTGGCCCGTCTGGGGACCAGGGTGTGGGGAACAAATGTGTGGGACTCAGAGGGTGGAGATCTTGCTGGATGGCTTATATGGGACCAAAGAGCCTCCATCTACCTTTTGTCCTTCCCGGTGTAAACTCCAGCAATGCCTGATGCCCCTGTTTTATGTAGGGTGTTGTCTTTGATGATCTTACAACAGAGCAGGATTTCTTTTCCATGTAGTTCCCATCCTCCCCTTGCCCCCAAACACAGCCACGTCACATCACTCCTCGTGCCAAATGCTCCTCCTCCAGCCCTGCGTCCCCTGTCAAGCCACCGAGGTCTCGTCGTCACTCATTTAGCAGCGCTGGCATGCGAGCAGCAGCAGCCCAAAGAGCTGGAGCGAGCCTTTGCAGCCCTACAGAGCTTCTCATTATAAATAACAGCCTCCCCCACCTCTAAGCTGCCTTTAAACCTCGCGCAAGGGCTTAGGCAAGAGGTAGGAGTCTTTAACCTGGACAGGCGCTAATAGCAGGGGCTGCCTTTCCGCTAGAAAGCCGTGCGTGTCAAAGAGTAATTGGACCTTAACCAGCCCCAATCTCAGCGCGTTTCTGCTCCTCCGCTCCCCGATTGCTCTGGAGAGATGGAGGAGCAAGTGGCAGGCACGCCACTTCTCCAACTTTTATTGCTGAACACTTGAGTGGAGGTGGTAATTGGAGCAGGTGACATATATAAGGGGCAGGACGGAGCGCTCCACAAAGCCATCTCTGCAGCTGTCACCTAATTGCCTGATTAACTGGACGATTAATCGACTAATTGGAAGCAGGGCAACGTCTGCATGACAATAAGCGGCCCTTTTGTCAAGCAGATGAAGGCTTCGGGGAGAGGGGAGCAGGTCCGGCAGTGGCTGTGGCAGGGAAGGAGCGAGGCTTTCACAGACCCCAGAGGCCCTTTCTGGTTCTGGGACCCCAGCCAAAATGCGTGAAACCCCCCTGGAGAAGAGCGGGGACAGAGGTGTGGGGATGGCAAAGGCTGGCCCAGAGCGTGGTGAGCATCACCTCTGCTTTGGGGGCTTTTTAAGGGATTAAATCCACGCACCGGAGACATCCCAAATCGCCGCCTGCTTTGGGAAACCCCGATGCTGAGCCGCTTGGCTTGTTCCTTTTTATTATTTACTGCAGGCTTCATTTCACCACATTAAAAAATAAGGTGGGGGGAACGAGCTTTAATTGATTCAGGAAAGCTTATAAAAGCCCGTAACATCTTCATCAGAGCTGCTTTTGTTTCCTGCTGAATGAAGCCTTTTTCAGGCGAGTCACTGGCACCATAAACACCGCTCTGTCTTCTGCCTGCGCTCACTTAACGTGTGTCTGGGGCTGCTGGGCACAGAGCAGCCTCAGTCGTGGCTGAGGACAATTAAAATTAACTAGACTTGAAGATCAGCAGCAGAGGGAGCAGCGAGGGGGCAGCCCCTGATCATGCACATTAGTGGGATGAGGTGCGTTTATATATGGCCCTGAGCGTTTTGCTAGGGATAGGTGTGTTGTTTGCAGGAACCCCAGTAGTGGCAGGACTCAGTTTTTAAATTCTCCAAAAATGGTTCAGTTCGTACCCAAAGAAACCATTCCTACTGCCCTGACAATTCACCAACCCATTCCTGTCCTGTTTTGGGGTTTAATTCTTTTATTTGAATGCAGCAGTCCAGCTTGTGCCTGGTGTTTTTGGGAGCTAAGCCATTAGGAACCCACTGGTGTGCTCCCATTCACCTTTTCCCGAGCTTTTTGCAGGGGCTGGGCTCTCTGCTGAGAGCAGAAACTCTGCGTCCCTACAGCCTGACTTGGCACTTGCTGCTATTTAATATCATCCCGTGTTTTTACTCCAAGACTAAAAGGCTGGCCGGATCCCCTCTGGGCTGGCGATGCCTTCTCCCTTTGCACTGTCATCAGGAGATTTCATTAGCGCTTCCAACTTCCCGGGCCGAGGGTGATACGGTGCTAAATGAGGTTATTAATCCTACACGACTCCAGAATCCCTCAGACGTCAGGCCGAGTCACTTGGGCATCCTATAATCAATGCCGTAATCTGGTTTTGCCAGAAAATGTTTGCTTTAATGCTTTTTATCTGGAGCCCTTCTTGCTCTCGGAGCTGGGATTAATTACCCCTGCAGGGGAAGCGTGCGGCCCCGCGCCGAGGGATGCAGCAAGCAGACGGCAGGGATGCAGCCCCTGGCAAGGGCAGGAGCGGCTGTGAGCGCTGCCCAGAGCCCCCAGGAAGTCTTTAATGAGTCCTCTTCTGCAGGGCAGCAGGAGCAAGTGCAAGGAATTGGGATTTTTGTCACCTAAATGCTATCTGTTCCCCCAAAAGCGAGCCTCTGCAGTGCTCTGGAGGATTTGCCTCCAGGTGACTTTCACCCACCGTGCTCTGGCTAAAAGCTGAACGTCCTCACCCCGTTCCCTGCCTGCTCTTTTCATCAGGGCTCCCATTTCTTGGTGCCAGGAGCCCCAGTTCCCCAATAAGCCATCACGCGAGTGGAAACCCATGTTTCCCTCCAGCACCAGCGAAAAAGAAAGCTGAAGAGTGGGGAGGGGGGGGAGGCAGAGTGTAGTAGTTGTCTGGTTTTTAAAAGCTTGCTCTTACACATGCAAATCTTTAATTAAACATACTCATAAAACTATAATGAACCGTTCATCTAATTAAATGGGGTGAGTCATTTCATTAATTTTTAGCAAACTGCAAAGCTGCTCTCCTGCCCTCCTCACTTGGAATTCAAAGGGACAAGCTGAAGCATTTGAGGGAAATTATCTTCCTTTTTTTTTGCGGTTATTTTGTTCTTTGTGCACAGAACCTGTTTAACTGACCATAGCTTATACTCTTCTAATTAAAAAAGAATTCTTCGGGTCCTATTGCTGTTCTTGATGGTTGCTTGTTTCCTTCTCCAGCTGTCCTACCCCAGGCTGTAACGGCTCAGGACACATCCGTGGGAAGTATGCGAGGCACAGAAGGTAAGGCTGGGTCGGAGGTAATGGGGATGGAAACATGCGAGCAGGAAACCCAGAGACAGATGTTCCCTGGAGAAGCTGGTTCCTTGGAGGATGGCTCAGAGCAGGAGCCAAACTCCCTCACCCTAAATCCATCTCTTGCTGTGTATCCATCAGTCCGTGGGGTCTTTCACCAGGCTGACAGCAGCCTTCACACCGACCCCAAACCAAGACAGCAGTGCCTGGTTTGGGTGCCTGGTGTCAGTGGGAGCTGCCAGCAGGGACAGATTTTGGTCTGCTTGGTACCTTTATGGACACGGAGAGGAATGAGAGCCCACTGGCTACCTTGGAAGCCAAGCCAGCAGTAACCAGTGGTTTTCAGATAAATTTAGTTACAGCGGTCGGTGGACAAGCCCCAGAGGCTGGTTCTGTGTCCCCTGCCTGGTTTCATGATGGTACTGGTGGCCAGCACCAGCAGTGCTGCTGGGAACCATTGGTCTTGCTGCTCCCTGGACACCAACTGTCCATGGGCGGACTGGTTGCATGAGTCCGGCAAGTTTGTGCTGGCTTCTGTGTAAAGCCAATATCAGGAGATACCCAAAGTCAAGATCTGAGAGCAGATCTGGCCATAAGATATTAGAAATGATAAAAATCTGAGCTACTACATGTGTTATTTTTTAGTATTTGTGTATTTATCCCACTTGCCTGCCCGGTTGGGATGCCGTAGACATGCCTTCTCACCGGGCAATGCCTCCTTGCTCCCACCCGCAGCCTACAAAGCTGCCCTCTAGCAAAGAAGAGGAAACTTCAGGATGCGGAGGCCGAACACCTGGTGTCGAAGCGAAAATCCCACCCGCTCAAGCTGGCCTTGGACGAAGGCTACAACGTCGACAGCGACGGCAGCGAGGAGGCCGAGGCGAAGGAGTCCGGCTCCGATGAGTCGGAGGGGACGCTGGAGGAGGACGAGGCGGAGGCGGTGGAGCAGGAGGAGACCCGCAGCCCTGAGCCGGCAGAAGGTGCTTTGTCATTATTGATTGCCAAGCTGCATTGTGGAGATGAATAAAGGGCAGCGAGTGTTAATAACCAGGAGTTATAGCTCCTCTGAATCGCGCGTCCCGCAATTATTGTGTTTGGTGGAAGCACGGCAGCAGAGCTCTGGTTAAGCGGTGATGGGTTACGCACAGATTGTCTCTCGAGTCTTCAAAGCGAGAGCTGCTCCACCAGGGATGTTCCCCAGGGAAAGACCCCCGGGAAACACAAAGGAGCTCCAAGTGGTGGCAAGGGCGGCAGCCTGGGCTCCTCCATCACCTCCCTGGTGCAGGATCCAACCATCCATCCTCTTTCCAAGGAGAGGAGTGATGGGCGGACAGGCTGGGTGTCTGTCCAGGGTCCTGGCATCGCCCGGTGGAGAGCCCCTGGTTTTGGGAGCAGGGGGAGTACGGGGCCAGCTGGCTGCTGATGGGTGGGGGCTGGGAAGCAGTGAGCGTCTGAGCACCGGGAAAGCTTTCGCAAGGAAATCCCCTTTCTATCTGCCGTCCCCGAGTGCAATAAATTAGGCTGCTCCAGGGGTATAACAGCAAGGCTCTGGTTTCAATTAAGCTTAAGGAAGACAAAGAGATGTTTACAAGCTTATATCATTACTTTATTTTCCTTTTTTTCCCCTCTCTTTTTTTTTTCTCTCCTTTTTTCTTCCTCCTTTTTTTTTCTCTCTTCTTTTTCCTCCCTTGTTTTCTAATTTTTCCCCCTATTTTTTCCATCTTCTTTTTCTTCTTTCTTTTTTTCCCCTCTCTTTTTTCCTCTTCCTTTTCCTTTTTTCCTTTCCCTTTTCCTTTTCCCACTCCCCACGCCCCCCCCCTTCTCAGAGAGAAGCCCAGCAAAATCAACCCATTACGGACAAAAACCAGCAACAAGCACATCTGGGCCCAGCAAGGCCAACTATAGCAGCTATCAAGAAATAATCGCCAACTCTCTCCTAAACCTAGGCCAAATAGCGGAGGAAACCCTCGCCATCGAAGGGCAGCTGCCCGAAGCGGAGCTGCAGGTCTCCAAACCGCCCCAAAACGTTGTGCACCTGGTCCACGAGGACGCGGGAGAGGAGATGGTGGAGGAGTGCGACAAGGAGATCATCATCCAGACGGAGGACGCGGAGGAAGTCATCGAGGTCACCAGCGAACGCAGCAGCAGCGAGTTGTGTCCGGAGCACCGGGACGATGCCAGCTGCGAGGAGGCCTGCAAGCTGCCCAAAGCCATGCAGGCTGAAGGAGAGGAGGAGGAGGAGGATGAGGAGGAAGAGGACGAAGATGAGGAGGAGGAGGAGGAAGAAGAAGAGGAAGAGGAGGAGGAGGAGGAAGAGGAGGAGGAGGAAGAGGAAGAGATAGCTCCCGAAGTGATCTGTGAAGAAGCTCCTCACACTTCTCAGGATGCCCAGAAAAGCCACTGTGAAGGGCAGTTCAGCCCGAAGCCCGAGTACTCGGTCATCGTGGAGGTCCGCTCGGACGATGACAAGGACGATGACGCCCGCTCCCAGAAGTCAGCCGTGACCGACGAGTCGGAGATGTACGACATGATGACGAGGGGGAACCTGGGGCTGCTGGAGCAAGCCATCGCGCTGAAGGCCGAGCAGGTGAAAATCGTGAGGGAACCCAGCCGGCTGCCGGGAGAGCACGTAAAGCACTTCCAGGTGGATGAGAAGCAGAGCAAACCACTGGACAGTATCCGAAAGAGCTACTATGGAAAAGGTGGGGTATGGGGGCGAGCCTCCATGTGTCTTCTTCCTTCCCATTCCCAGGGGCTGAGCTGCTCAGCTCCAGGAAAAGAGGGATGCTGGGCGGGGGGTTCATGTCCCACAGTGGGAATTTAGCCACAAATCCATGCCCAGAGAAAGGGGGACATCCTTGAGGTCAGCAGTGAATGCATAAAATGATGGTGGCCTCCGTGTCTCAGCAGGGGAGTTAACTGGTTAAAGAGCTCTGTTGGCCTTGCAAATCTCAGCCTGGGCTGCTGGAGGGTTGGTTTCAAAGCCAGATGGGATTTGGGGTAGGGGCAGGCATTGGGCATGGCCAGGCAAGGGACTCTGTGCACTGCGAGCACTGCTGCTGGGCTGCCTGCTTGGTCAGAGGAGTAGCTCTTCACTGCTGATTTGTCTCCAGTGTTACATCTCCACTTTCAGAAAAATATCTCCAAACCCAAAGTTTCTCCCTCATTAACTGGAAGAGTGGTGGGAAGCATCCGGGGCAATTTTTCAATGAAATATTCCAAACCTTTACGCTTTTTCTCCTCCAAATCCACTAACCTGCTTCCCACATCCCCTAGATCCCTCGAGACCCGAGAAGCGAGAAATCAAATGTCCGACGCCTGGCTGCGATGGGACTGGCCACGTCACGGGACTCTACCCTCACCATCGCAGCCTCTCTGGTTGTCCGCACAAAGACAGGATCCCCCCTGAGAGTGAGTACATGCTCGGGTGCCCAGCAGGAGAGCACAGGTTGCTTAAATTAGTCTGGAGCTGTATTTCCTAGAGGGACTTTTACATCTGATGGGTAGAGCCATCCCAAGGGTTTTGGGCACTCCATAGAATACCAAATAGTGTGAATTTTGCAAATGAGTCCCTAGTAGGAGTCTGATGTTAACCCCTGAGATATAACGGGGTCTCTGGTGTGGTATGGTGATTTTCCAGCTCATTCCAGGATGCTTCTGTCCACCAAGGTCGTACTGCACTTAACGGGAAATGCTAAGGAGATTACGAGAAAGTCAGACCCTTCTTAAAGATTTTAGCACCATCCTGTGGAGGATGAGGTCCCTTCTCTGCAAATCAAAGGTGCTTTGAAAATGACTGCCCACCTCCTGAGACGTGTCGAGTGGTTCCCACCTTTACACTGAATTTCTTGTATTTTTCTCTATTTGGGATATCATATTTGGAAGGAGGAAAAAGTGTTCTCTACTGATGTCCAACCGAGATGAGGGTGTTGCCATCTGGCAAAGGAGAGGAGGTGCTCAGGACGTGTAAGGCAGCTGAGTCTCCTCCTGTGCTCTCGTTGCTATAAAATTCATGAAGCACTATACTGAGATTCATCTCTTCTCCAGAAAATATTTATCAGCATCGTAACAGATTTTTATATACATATACAGAGGGGGAGTTTATTTCTACCTCTCTACCAGCATCCTAAATAGTTTTCCTTGTGCATATACATAAAAATCAATGTTGTATGTTTACGATAATGGCATAATAGACCAAAAACTAAAACCACCACACTTCCTTATCAGTAATTTCAAAGGTTGCAGACCTGCTATAAAGACAGACTTGCAGGAAACAAGGAGGAAGTACAGCTATCTCTGCACAAGTTCAAATGCAAGGGAAAATATTAATAAATAAATAATACAAGCTGTGTGCTTCAGAAAGGCTTGCAAATCAAATTATTTTCTTTACTTTTAAGGTCAGCACTGCAGGAAGCAATAATCCTGAAGATTAAAATTAAAAAAAAAAAAAATCAAACAAAGACTAGTCCTCAGGATAAAAGCAGAGATACAACTTCAATCACTTAAAACTACCTGAAATGGGGAGGCCTGGCTCCAAAATGATGGAGGGGCTGGTTGGGGAAACTGGACTGCAATCAGCAAAGAGGGACAAAGCCCAGGCTGTGTGCAGGGATGCTCTGACCTGAGCAGTTCTCCTTTGAACATCTCTTTTTTTTTCCCCTCCACGCAGACAAATTCTAATTACAGCATTTCACATGCCTTGATTTCTAGGAAGCCAGTGTACAAGCCTTGATGATTTTGTCTTTTTTTATTTTTTTCTGATTTTTATCGAGTTGTTTTTTGCCTCCCTTCCCTTCTCCCCTTCCCCTCCTCGCTCCGAAGTCTTGGCGATGCACGAGAACGTGTTGAAATGCCCCACGCCAGGCTGCACAGGACAGGGTCACGTCAACAGCAACCGCAACACGCACAGGAGGTACTGCCTTCCACTTCTTCTGCCCTGCAGCCAGCCCCAGGGGCACAGGATTTGTTCTGGAGCTGCAGCCCTCCTGCTGGGAGATGTTCCAAGCAGGATGGACAAGGAAGGGATGATCCTAAGACAAGGAATAATACGGGAAAGCAAAGATGGGGCAGGGATTTCTGGCTGGGCAGTAGGGCAGAGCAATACTTCCAGGCTCAAAAGTGGACTAAAAGGGTTGGGGGCTCAAGGAGGAGACACATGGAGCCAGGGGAGCAGTGGCACCTGGTGATGTTTGCTTGTGTGGCACTTTGCAGGGTTTCTGGGAATTGCCACAATATTTGGGCTGAAATTAGTCCACAGTACAGGTGAGCTGGGAGTTGAGGCCCTGATGCTGTAGGACCTCAGCCCAGGTATGGCCAGGAGGGGACAGGTTGGTGCTTTGGGATCAGTAATTATACCCCGTGCTCTGGCTTCAGTCAAACCCCAGAAATTTTACAAACGGGAAGGCTACAAGAAGAGGTGATGGTGCTGTTCAAGCTAGAAACCATCCCAAAAGCCAGACTAGCTTGTGCTACAGGGACCTGCTCACCAGTTTGTGATTTATTCATTATGCCCACGCTTCATTAGCACAGAGTGCCAGCTCTGTGAGCATTACCGTGCTGCTGGCGCGAGGTGAGTGTGCGCCGTCACCCATCCAGACGTGGCTGGGGACCACGGGGGCAGCCACCCTGGTGATGCCCTCCTTGTAGCTGTAATTGCTAGAGGGGAATTAGGGAAATCTGCTGGGTTAATTGAGAAATGTGGTTTGCTGCAAGCAGTGAGATTGGAGAGAGGCTGAGGTGAGCGGCTGCTTCCAGGGGGTTATGGAGAGGGCTTTGCTCTGCCAGACCCAGCCCTGAGCCTGGAGGGGGTCCCTTGGTGCTGGATGCTGCAGGGATGGGGGCATCTGAGATGGTTTGGGGATGGGCTAGAGCATGCAAGCACTGCTTGTAAGGCGTTTCTACCTTCCCTGAGTGATCACTGCAAGAGCCAAGCTGATCCCAAAGAGGCACAGCCAAGCTCATGCAAAGGATGAGGGCGAGCAAAAACCCTCATAGCCCCCGAGTGACCCCAGGCACCATGTGCACATCAGAAGTGCAAATGTTTCCCATCCAGCACCCCTCAGAAGGCTCCCTTCAAACAGCCTCAAAAGAGACAAATAAACACAAATCAAAAATGCCATTTAATAGTTAAAACTCCCCAAAGAAAGCAGCTCGGCCTCTGCTGTGCTCAGCCTGGGGCAGCTGCCTCCTTCCTCCATCCTAGGTGCTGGTGATGCTCCGGGGCTTGCCCCAGAGATATCTGGCAGCTCTGCAGCTTGGCAAGACTAACAGTAAACTGGGATAATGCTAACCAGAAAAACCTTAAATGCAAACATTTTTCTTATGGGCTTCGTGTAGTTCTGGGTGTCTGAAATGAGAGAGGATTTCCGTGCGCATCCCTCATGCTCTGTTTCTTCCCCTCTCTCCCTTTTCACCTCACACAGTTTATCTGGGTGCCCCATTGCTGCTGCTGAAAAATTAGCCAAATCACATGAAAAGCAACAAACCCAGTCTGGTGACCCTTCGAAAACCAGCTCCAATTCTGACCGGATACTCAGGTACGTGGCATGGGAAGCCAGCCCCGGGGACCCGCGCCCACAGCGGGAGCCGGCTTGCTCCAGCTGTATGCTGATACTGCTGAGTCCTGTTATTATGATCATAGGTCTCGCCAAGGTGGGGAGATATTTAATTGATGATCCCAGGGAGGGCATTGAGGACAATGAATTGCTTCTGTAGCATCAATTAATGCTGAGGCTACAGGCCAAAGGGTTTCAGCAGCGCAGCAGAAGGCATTTGTGCCGATAGCGCTGCAATGCAAACTGCCAGAGAATTATGGCTATTATATTAGCATTATAAGTAGGGTGGGCCTGGGGAGGGGGAGGAGGAGATTTCGGCTACATATAAATCACTCGATCACAGTTTCACACAAGTCCTCCCACTTTTCTTCCTTAGCCCGCACGGGTCAGAGGAGAGGAACCTGCCACTCATTGCCAAACCGCCCGCATTTATTTTGTTATTTCACCCATCTCTGTCTTCCCGGGAGAAAGGGCTGTCTCACAGCAAGGATGTCCCTGATAGATGCTGGCTTCCGTAGCCGACGTGATTCATGAGGCTACAGATGGATTGTAATATGCTTAGTTATTTCGCAATGAGAGCAGGAGGATAGGAACCGCAGCACGAGCCCTTTCCATGCTGCGCTGAGCAGCGCTCCCACCAAGGCATCGAGGTCGGATTAATTTATTTATTTGCTCCCCAGGACTGCTGAGCACCCCGGTGCACTGGTGCTGAGAGCTCGGTGCTTTGCAAAGGAAGGCCATTCGGGGCGATTACTTATTTATTTGCAGCGGAGCCTGCGATGGGCGCAGCGTGCTCTGAGCGCATCACGAGGACGCTCCATGCTCCAAGGAGCTCCCGCTCCGAGGACTCGCTGGTGGAAAGAGGTCACGGGAAGGAGAATAACAATGGGCCATTTATATACAATTTATATGCAAGACAAATTGATTCATGATAGGCAGCCCGGCAGAAGCAGGGGGACTCTGCAGGCAGGGGAGAGGCACGCTCGGCTCGGCTGTGCCTCAAGCTCCCCTTTGCGGCCAAGCTGCAGGGGGTTTCGGAGCTGGATTGGGGTCCTGATGCCTTCGTGTGCTGTCCTTTTGGCACAGCTCCCATGGGCAAGTGGCACCTGGGTGTTTACTTACTGCTGTTGGAAACGTGCTGCCATCTCACAGCAGCCCGCGGGGTATTTTGGATGAGATGGACACCTCAGCTTTTGGTTTATAAAGAAATTAAAAATGAAAAACAAAAAAGAAAAAAAAGAAAGAAAGAAAGAAAGAAAAAAAAAAGAAAAATGAATTTAATGGATCCAAACCAGGTGCAGACTTGCTGAGGGAACAGCCAAAGGGCTGTCACTGCCAACTCTTCCCCTGCAGCCCCTGGGGATGTCCCCACCACATCAGTCCCCTTGCACTACCCCAGCCACCAGGTGCCACCTCGGTCACGATGAGGAAAAGAGAAGTCACCGGTGCTCATTGTTTCGTCCTCAGGCCTATGTGCTTTGTGAAGCAACTGGAGATCCCTCAGTATGGAAGCTACCGGCCCAACATGGTCCCAGCCACCCCCCGGGCCAACCTGGCCAAGGAGCTGGAGAAGTACTCCAAGGTCACCTTCGATTATGCAAGTTTTGATGCTCAGGTTTTTGGCAAACGCATGCTTGCCCCAAAGATTCAGACTAGCGAAACCTCACCTAAAGCCTTTAAATGTAAGTTGGGCGCAGGGAAGGGTTGGGTTTTGAATTTTCTGCCTGTCTCAGCACCTCGTGTGCTGTGAGGCCCTGGGGAGCATCACCTTGGGGTGCGGGGAGAGTCCCGGGACTGAGCCTTGTGGGGTGGGAGGAGAAATGGGGATGGGATGGGGCGGCTGAGCTGGGTCCTGTGGCACATCCCCACCACGGGGAGAGGGACACGGGGTCCGTGGCTGCCACAAGAGCTTGGCCTGGGGGAGAGGCCCTTGGGCTTCGGGTTTGGGAAGAATTGCCTGGAGCGGTGGGAGCATTAATCTGAGCGATGGCTCCAGGTGGGATAAGTTACACAGTTGTCCTCAGTTGGTCCCCACTGCTTTGCAGTTCATATCTATTGATCTGTCTTTTCTCATCTAGCTAAATGGATTATAGTTCTCCTCTCTTCCATCTTACGTATGACCCACTCCCCCCATTTGTCTTCTTGGCCGCGCTGGGCTCTCCAGCGCTGCTCCTATCGATCACCCCCTCCCATCCTCTGCTCCCTGTCGCAGCCACCCACCTCTGCTCCGCACCGAGGCTCTTGCCCTGGTTACAGCGCTGTGCGATGACAGTGTGGGTGAAAATGAAATGGTGAAATGAAATTAAACCCTCCGGGATGGGTTCTCAGGAGCTGTGTAGGGAGCCCGCCTGCCCCAGCCCTGTGCCGGGGGACTGACGTTTAATGTCCCCCCTCTCTTTGACACCAAACATGCTCCTGAGGACATCTTCCTGAATAAAAACATAAAGATTTAGGAGACCGGTTTGCAGAAGTCAGCAGCCTCAAGAGGGCTTTCTGTCTGGCTAATCCCACTTCCACAATCCTGTTTAATCCTGATGCAGCTGCTCTCTAAAAAGTGCTCGTACTTGAAAGCATCCCGGTTGTTGCACTACAATGGAAGCTGCCTTTATTACAGTACTAAATCTGTAAAGGATCAGACAATGAAATTGGATGGAGGCCAGAGAGCACAACTGCCACTGTCATCCTGGGTTAGGGCTGATGGAAAAGTAATTTGTTTCCCAGCACAAGTGATTCTCTTGCTGAATAGATTGTGTTATTTGCAATATTAGCAAAGAATTTTCAGGGTAATTGTACTGACAAAAATAATTCCAGCAAACCCACTAGGATAATCCTTTCTATTTTTTCTCATCACTTATTTTACTAATTTGCTGATTGCGAGTCTATTAGTGGTAGAAATACTTATGAAATGGAAAAGCATCGCTGAGTCTACGGTGTGAAATTGAAATTGGCATCTCGCGATCCTGGATATTGTCAGGTTGGGCTGGCAAACACCCGCACTCCGCAGCGAAGATGTGGATTAAACCGGACTCAAAAATAAGCAGCCATACACAAGAATAACCATTTGGGCAAGCTTCCAATGAGTTAATCAAAGCGACAAGATGAATATGATTGCCAATCATAGCAGGGAAATCTGTTCCTTTCACTGAGAACTTATTTTAAAGAGATCTTCATCCAGAGGGATTTATACTCCCCTGCATGTGTGTGCGTCCTTCCCATTAATGTCAACGTGCATTATATACGCACACAGCCAGGAAGAAAGCAGTCCTCGGGAACATTAGCATTTTATGGTGCCTTATATTTCCAGTTTGTGATGGCAATCATGAAGCTCTGCAGCCACAGCTGCCCAGGTTGTCCTCCTGCTCCGCTACCAGCAGGACAAACCTCACGAGTCTGCCCTGGGTGAGACTCCTGGGTTTTCCCTCAAAACGTGCAGAGGGAAATGAAATGAGAATTGGAAAACTTTGGTAATTGATTCCGAATACAATCCTGTGGTGGTTCAAAATCGGATGATCCAGTCTGCACCCCCTGAAACTGCTGACTTCTGAGCCTTCCTAAATGGGTCCAGTTTTTAAACTGGAGCCAGTTTAATTGTGGGTTAACCTTGGGAAATACTGACTTTGATTTCATAGGGTGTGAAGAGAGGATAACACCTCCAGGATCGCGCTGCTCTGTGCTGTGATATACAGTGCCAGTGCGGAGTAGTGACCATGTGTGGCTGTGCAATAAATCTGGTTACTCAGACGTATTTAAATTATATGTCAGCTGTCGGAAAATCCATATTTCACCGCTGTCATCCTCAGAAGCTCGTATTTCATGGCCGTGGGTTTCCTATAAATGTAATTTTTTAACTTAGAAGTGTTCAAACGTGCTGCAAGAAATCTCCCTGCAAGTCAGCTCCGTGGCTAAGTTAGGAACAGAGAGAGAGCAAAAAATAAAAGGGCTGGGAAGCTCCTCTGGGCTTTTTCTTTCAGTGTCTTCCACTGAGGGGTAGCTTTAATGAAGGAAAGTGGGTTCTGGGAGGCTCGATGGCAGAGCCAGCTAATGAATTGACTTTTCCCAACAAGAAACCATCACACAAGATCGTGGCAGCAGCCAGCACTGCTCCTATTGCACCTCCCTGGCAATCCAGGGCCGGTAATAGCAGCGGGCTGGCGCTGCCGACGATTTACTTGTGCCAGCCATGCCTTAGCCTTGTGTTCTTCCTTCTCTTTTTTTTTTTTATTCCAGCCAAACCTTTTCCAAAGGCCTCCTCCCCCAGCCACAGCCCCTCCAGCAGTTACGTGAAGAGCACTTCATCTTCCTCCACAGGCTTCGACTACTCCCACGACGCCGAGGCCGCGCACATGGCTGCCACCGCCATCCTCAACCTCTCCACCCGCTGCTGGGAAATGCCCGAGAACCTCAGCACCAAGCAGCAGGAGGCCCCCGGCAAGGTGAGCTTCGAACTGCAATTCTCAGAAGGCAAAAAGACCTTTTTTTTTAAACCTTCCCTTTCATTTTGAGCTTTATATAGAGAGGAGCGGATGGCTTATCGCTTGCCAGCCTTTGCCTCCTGACGTGCTTTGGGTGATGTAGAATTTGGAGGATATAATCTTGTTTTTTTGTGTGTTCTGGAGCTGCATCATAGTTTGAATTTACCCATTGGAGATGAGACTATCCCAAGCAGATACCCATGTCTGGTTCCAGTTGCTCGCAGCTCAGTGTCTGGTGCCATTGGAGATTTCCCCGTTGCATCCAGGCTGACCTCCAGCTGCTTTTCAGAGGAGTTTGGGTTTTCCAGAGGTCCTGTGCCACACTCCCAGCTTTGGGCAAATGTCCTGAATGCCACGAGATGTCTTACATGGCACTGGATGTCTGTATTCAGGCAACCTTTGTGATACACCATGCTGCTTTTATTGGAGGGTTGCATTTGCACAGCACGTTTCTGAAAACCTTTAGAACCTTCTCAGGTTGTGCCCATGGCAGGGGCAGGAGCTGGGTGGGTTTTAAGGACCCTGCCAGCCCAAACTGATCCGTGGGTCTGTGACTGCAGAGAGGACAGGACACGAGTAACCTGTTCCCTAACCTCCCCCATGACAAATGGGGACAAGATCCCCTTAGGGGATTTCTGGCAGATGCTGACGTTGGGCGTATTTCCCCCTTTTCAGTCCATGGACATTGAGGTGGATGAAAATGGGACTCTGGACTTGAGTATGAACAAGCACCGCAAGCGGGAGAGCACCTTCCCCAGCAGCAGCAGCTGCAGCAGCAGTCCCAGCATGAAGTCCCCAGATGTGTCCCAGCGCCAAAACAGCACCAGTGCCACGAGCAGCACCATGACCTCCCCCCAGTCCAGCCAGACCTCCCGCCAGGATGAATGGGACGGGCCCATCGACTACACCAAACCAAACCGCCAGCGGGAAGAGGAGCCAGAAGAGGTGAGCTCTGGACCTTAGGTAACACCTCACGGCGGGCTGAAGGCCATATTTTCTTGCACAGCCCAAAAGGGGATATTGAGCCTGGTTGGTCTGGGGACCGAGGTGTTTACAGGGCTCAGGAGTGTTGCCAAAGCTGCAGGAGCTCTGAGCTGGGATGAACCATTACATCCACTTCTCCTGGCACCCTTACATCCACTGCACCCCTGCATCCCCTTCTCCCGGCTGTTCTCTTGCAGTCAGAGCCAGCAGCCCACTCGTTTGCCTCCTCGGAAGCTGATGAGCAAGAAGTGTCGGAGGAAAACTTTGAAGAACGAAAATACCCAGGGGAAGTTACTTTAACCAACTTCAAGCTTAAATTCCTCTCCAAGGACATCAAGAAAGAGCTGCTCACGTGAGTCCTTCTCGCCTCTTTCTCTGATGCGTATAAAACATGCACTCAGGGCATGCAGCAGACAAAAACTGGAGGAAATACATTTTAAAATGTACCTTCCCACGGAGGTGTTGGGCTTCAAGGTGTTTTGTTGAGCAGGCAGGACTTCTGCTTCATGTGGAGCAAGGAGCTCCATCGCTGTGAAGGTGCAGGGCCACCAAACGTGAGCTCTGGCTGCAGTGGGATTGCTGATGTTCCATTTTGCATTGCAGAGGGGGCTTAATTGAGCCCCCATCTGTGTATTCACAGCATTGGATGGGGAGAAAAATAGGCCCAGAGCTGTTCTATCCATGCTGACCCCCCAAAGGTTAAGGTTTAGAGCTGGCCACAGGCGCTGCAGCCCAGACCTGGCTCTGCCCCAATGCCCCTCGGGTCCATTTGGAGGTCGTGGTGCTGAGGTTTCCCCTCCCAGACCTCCCTGCAGATCTTTTTCCTGCATCTGACCTTCCCATATGCTAAAGAGGGAAGTCTGGCGAGCCTCGTTTTGCTGACCCTATACAAGCTGCTCGTTATTTGGCTGCGCAAGCAGGAACCTGAGGGAGCTGTGCGGACAGGCAAGAAAGAGGTCCGAGGGAGCAGAGCAGCAGCAGCAGCTTCCTAAATGAGCAATGCATGCACCAGCTGCCCTGTGCAAAGCTCTCTGGGCTTTTTTAAAACCCAGCAGTGATGTGAATAGCGGTTTTTGAGGTAGAACCCTTTAGGTATAGTATGAAGGTAGACGAATTTCCTACAAACAAACAGCCCTGGAATAAATAAGCGATGTCACGGCCAGCCCAGAGCCACCTCTCCCCATTTAGCATCCTTGCTCCTTCTTGGCCCTAAGAAATTATTTGCAGTTAATCCAGGAGCTGGCTGTGTCTATCTGAAGCTCTGTGTCTGGGTGCAGAGCTTGGGCCATCTCCCAGCACCGATGGAGGTGTGGAGGTGCTGCTCACCTCTGCCTGCCGGCACACGGCAACACATCACTTTCTTCACATTTGCCATATTTTTTTCAAAATTATGGAGGGTTCTTGTGATCTTTTTGAAATAAAAGAGGCATGAAAAGAGGGTGGAAGGGGAAGAGTTGGGGTATTTGCACACGAGCAGGGCTGATGGCAGGGGCAGACCCCAAGGAGGGCTTTACTGGCTGCATGCGCGCGTTTTCGGGTGAATTCATTCCCTTCCAGCACTTACGCTTGTGGTGTTGTTGTTGCCCAGTTGCCCTACCCCAGGCTGTGACGGCAGCGGACACATCACGGGAAACTATGCCTCTCACCGCAGGTGGGTTCGCCTCTTTTCCATGGCTCAGACTCTAAATACAACTTTATTTTTTAGTATATTTTTTCACCATGTGGACGATTTGGTTCTGTTTCCTCCCCGCCTTCTGTTGCCCCTCTCCCTCCCCACGCCCCAGCCCTTTTTCTTTTTCCTTTTTTCCTTTTTTTTTTTTTTTTTTTTTTTTTTTGCTTATCCAGATATTCCATCTCTTCTCTTTCAGCCTTTCTGGTTGTCCTCTTGCTGACAAGAGCCTCAGAAACCTCATGGCTGCCCACTCTGCTGACCTCAAGTATGTTTGCGCTCAACTTGGATCTCCTTTTGTTTTTCTTTTTTTCCCCCTTTTTTTCTGTCTTTTCCCTCCCTGCCCCCCCTTTGTGCTCTGCTTTTGCTTTTTTTATCCCTTCCCTTCTCCTTCCAAAAGCCAATAAGTGTCTGCCTGCGAGGAGCTCTGGTGGAGCCCAGCCTCTCCATGTCATTTTGGGAATGCAATGGAATGAGGGAAGGAGTATTTTGGGGAGAGGGAGATCACGGAGCTGTTCAGCAATAACTCGGACCCCTGGCAATTTTCCTTTGGACACCGCAGAAATAAGCTAATTTCTTTTTCATTTGTTCCCTTTTAATTCATCATTTCTGTGTGGCTCTCAGAGAATCCAAAGCCAGGATGAAGGCACACGCTTTAGGACTGGGTAGAGACACAGCTGGGAAAATAGCAAAAAGAAGCCAACTCTTGGAGAACCCGGCGTGCTAATTTTTTGCTAAATTTAAGGGGCTGTTGGGGGAGCAGTGACACTTGGGTGCCTGATCAGTGGGGCAATGACAGCGGGACCAAGAAAATGGTGCTGGGCAAGGCTGGATCCTGAGCAGCTGCGAAGGGGCAGATCCGAGTGTGCACCTGCTAACAGGGGGCAAAAGGCTTTGGGCACCTGGATGTGTGTGCACAATTCTGCTCCCAAAGGGGGGAATCTAGCCTCAGTATTTCCATTCAAATGTGTTCCTCCAAATCCCATTTTCAGCTTTGCTCCTCTCTTCCCAATGCTCCTCATTTTCAGGAGGAGCTGCAGCTTCACAGGGGAGTTTCCCTACTGCTCCTTAGTTTGCATCCCCTCTAGGAAGATTTATTAGAAATTGTATTTAAAATCAGCAGAAACCATGGGGGGACCTGAGCATTTCTTCTCCCAACACAACCTATGAGGGACAGAACTAATGGTGAATGTTTTTCCCACATCTTTGCCATGGAGCCAGCCTGTCTTTGCAGGCTGATTCTCCTCTTAGCGTCCTGCTTTGCTGAATCCAATTTTAGGATTATTTTGACGGTGAGATATTCATAACCATAACCAGGGAGGCCTCTGCAGGGGGCTTTGCATTGCATAGGCTCATGATAGAAAAACTCAGTCCTGTGTCCCGTATGCAGCTGGTGATGCTCAGAATAAATAACAGCCAGGTGGGAGCCCCGTTGCTCAGTGAAGGTGATCAGCAAAACCCCAAATCCCCTTACAGCATGGGTCTGGGACTGCTTCAGGTGCTGGTGCCAGGAAACCATTCGTTAACCTCCTGTTCTGCACCAGAGAGGTGGAAAAAGTGGCTGGATTAGGTGACGTTAATAGAATATGCCAGTGGATGGCAAGGACTCTCCTGATTAGTGCTAAGTACACTTAATCGTGCATTATAGATGATATACATTTTGAAAGAAGCTCTTAAGAGAGCTTTGCTGAACTGGTGTTTCTCCAACAGCCCTAAAGAACAGCCTGGCGATCAGGCAATTAGTGGTAAGATATTAAAAGCTCTCAGGAACAGCACCCATGCCCAGTATGGACGTGGTGAAAAATGGACCAGAGTCATCATTCAGCATCCAGAATAATGCACTTCGGGCATCTGAAGTTAGTGCTTTTTGATCAAAATACTACATAAAACAGGTAACCCCTGGCCAAAACAAAGCCTTTCAGTGTTATTTTCCAAGGGTTGTCCTGTTCGTATATCCTGGTGAGGATGGAGGCAGGGAGAGGAGGAAGGATTCGGAGATGTTACGGATCCCGCAGTCACAGCTCTTTCACAACTTCAGATAAGGCCGTGTCAGCATTTCCATTATAAATTCTATTTCAGGGGGTTAATATCCCTGATATAAAAAAATAGCTCCAGGCTGGAACATGCAATAAAAGGTCTCTGTCGGAATGATTTGTCTCCGGATAATTAAAAATAAAAATCAAATCACTTCTTTCACCTCTTTAAAAGTCCTGAAAGGCAGGAGGAGTTCGGTGTTGGTGTTTTCATAATTCCATCCCAGCCCGAAGCTAGAACAACAAAGAAATAGTTTTGCTTCCTACTCTACCAGGGTTTAATGGGGAAATGTCATGAACATGCAGTCATCTCCTAAGCCTCTAATGTTTGAGTTGGAGGATTTGCATCCTCATCAGGTCCTGCTGGATGTGGCCCTGTCCCTCCTGCACCGGACCTGGTGCTTTGCTGGGTCTGCAGGTGGAGCCGTGCCCCATGTCACCCTTCTGGGACCAGGACAGGTCCCTACTCTCCGTGCAGCCGAAATTTTCCTCCAGCAGAGACCATCAGTGACCTGCAAACCCCAAACCGACACTCAGAGCTGACACAACGAGGAGAGTTTTGCTATTTTCTGATTTTAGAACCAAACCAAACGGGCGTTGAGAAAGTGGGATATTTCCTGATTTTAAAACTAAACTAAACGGGGACTGAGAAAGTGGGGGCACAAAACCATTCCCCTGAGAGCAGGGGCCCTCTGCAAGCAGGGAGCAGCTCAGCACCCCCCCAGGGACCCCCTCCAGCCCCACTCACTTGACTGGAGCAGCGCTGGCTAATTGGCAGGCCGGCACGCGCGTCCTCGGCGAGGACTCCTCACCTCTCGTGCTGGTCCCCATGACAACTTTTATGGCTCACCTGCGGCGTTCGGAGCGGGGCTTTGTGCTGGTGGCACTTCAGAGCCCCTCACCTCCCTCGCTTCGGTGGCCTTAATGACGCCGTGCTCGACTCGCAGCATTATCTGTGCTGCCGCTCGCTGCCTTTGTGCAGCTCTGTGTGAGCACGGATGTGTTCTGCCAGGCTCGGCTCTCATTCGTGTGCCTGAGTGCTGGCTGCTTGCCTTCAGCCCCGTGGTTGGGGGTGAGGTCTTCAAAGAGCCCTCTGCAACAGGCAGAGGTGGAGAGGGGGCACCTGAAGGGTGCCGGTGACCCCACCTGAGGACCCCTGTGGGACCCATGTCCCTTACCCATGGTATAACAGAGGGAAAAGACCAAAGGTTAAGCTCAGCTTTTTTCTCGTTCCTTCTTCATTATTCTCCATCAGAGGCATTGGTTGGTTTTGGAGTCTGTTTTTGGGTCTGCTCCCAGTGAACTTAGCCCCCCACTGTCACCCTAGACCTGAGCTAAAACCTCTCGATGGGCTTCTTCTTGGCATCGGCCAAGGTGGCCCAGGAGGAGAAACCTCAACAGCCGAGTTGTCCATGGCTGAAAACATTTTTTCTGGTTTCTTGGCTGGGCTCACATCCAACCCAATGGTCCGGGAGGGTACCAGTGTCTCCTTGCATCTTCCCCAAGAGGATGGGCACTGTCCTGGAGGTCTTTTCTTGCCTTTTTTTTTTTTTTTTTTTTTTTTTGATGGTTTTCTACTATCACCTGAGCTGTCCCTATCAAGAAGGTGGGGATGAGGCCAGGACTCGTGTCCCTCCCCATGACCCCATCCCTTCCCACCAACCACCCCCCTAATGCCCACACCGGGCACAGGGGCTCCGACGCTGCGGATGCCACGGACCCGACGTTGTTCCAGTGGAGGGAGAAGAGGCAGGGAGAAAATCCTGCTTCGGTGCTGCCCGGATTTCTCTGGCACGAGCAGTGCAAAGCCTCCAGCTCTGTGCGTGTCCCCTGGCTAATGGGAGCCTCCCTTTCTTCTGCAGGTGCCCTACTCCTGGCTGTGACGGCTCTGGTCACATAACAGGAAATTATGCATCGCATAGAAGGTAAGATCTTCCCTTAAATTATTTTATCCTTAGCCTCTTACTATTTTTTTTCCTTTTTCCTTTTTTTTTTTTTCCTTTTCTTTCTTTCTTATTATTTTTTCCCCTGCAATGGGCAGAGTTGTAAAGTTCTGAATAAAACATTAATGTTACTGACAACTGAAGCCTATTTTCATCTCTTTAATCTGACTTTCTTTTTCTTTTTTTTTGATGTTTCCAGCATCTGATTAGAAGCTCCCTTCAATAGAATAAAAGACAAAGGGTCAGATTTTAGCTGATGCAATGTTCCTGTTAATAATGCTACCTATTTATGACTTCTATTATCACTTTAGAGCATTAATAGCGGAGATCTGAGCCTTCTGTTTCAACAATTCCATTAAACATCGCAGGCTGTTAGCAGATATCTTCTTATCTAGACACCGTTAATTACTGTCCATCTCCCTCAAATATATAGATTTTTATTTTTTTTCTTTCTCCTCCTGACTTCTGGTGATGTGAAGCTGCAAATCGAGAGAGATCAAAACAGTGTGCGAAGTGCAGGGGGAAGCTGACTGGAGCGGGGGCATCGCGTGCGCGGGGCCCTGCCTCTCAGACAGGCCTTTCTTCTCTTTTCAAACACAGTCTGTCAGGCTGCCCTCGTGCCAAGAAAAGCGGGATCAAGATAACCCCGACAAAGGATGATAAAGAAGACCCGGAGCTGATGAAGTAAGTCTGGATAAAACCACCCTGCATCCCCACCGCTCAGAGCATCGCCTGCCCGGGGCCGGGCTCTGGCACCATCAAAGCTCTTCCACATTTTTCCCATGATTTTTTCCTTGATGCCACAAATGCAATTCTGAAATTGGATGGGAAAATTGGGAGGTGGGGGAGGTAACGGCGTGTTTTTTTTTCTCATTGTTGTTTGCAGATGTGAAAGGTAGGTTGGCAGGGCACCAACGGTTCCTCTCCTTCCCGTGCTTTATATAATTCCTGAGGAAATTGCTGGTGTTGGGAATGAGGGTAAAAACCCGCAGCCGGATGAAATGTTGGGGGTTTTCAGGGTGGAAATGGGCATGTGAGGGGTGCCGGTGGGCTCGCTTAGTTCTGCAGGGTCAGGACCTGGTAGCAGTGAATGTGTTGTAGAGTCTTTGCCACCGCTGAGTGTTCAGAGTGAGCTGAAAAAGCCCCTCTCTGCTGCCTCGGGCTGAATTTTTCAACACCACCCAGGGGAATACTCCGCCTGGGAACAGGGATTTTAAAAAAAAGCCCACTTCAAACCCTCTCATGCTGGCTCTCGGCACACCACAGCACCACGGGCTGGGCGCCCAGGGGCTGCCCTGCGACCCCTTGCACATCTCTGGGATGTCAAAACCTTTATGGCAGCACGAAGCCAGCCCCAACTCCAGGATCCTATTTTCGGTTAACCCAGCACATCCCCAGCCTTGCCAGAACCCATCCACTAACCCAGCGGGTTCAGGTGGAGCAGGGAAAAAGGGAGCATGGGGAGCCAGAGGAAACCTTTTAGTGAGTTTCTGGATGCTGCCGGAGCAGCCAGGAGTGCTGGCACTTCTGGTCAAACCCCTTTCACTCAGCAAGCTCTCCCCAGACATTTTTCTCCCTATTTTAGCCCTTCCCTTTCCAGGGCAGCTCTCACCCTTGCCGAATTTTGGAGGTCCAGGAGCAGAGGCTGTGCTGGCTGCTGCTGGCCCCTGCACTCTGCCAGGGCTGTGGGGAGCCAGGGCGCACGAGCTGGGGAAAGGAGCTGTACGAAGCAGATGATATTTGAGCCATCTGCTCTGTTCTCACTCTGTCTCCAGGAAGGAAAGCCTCCGAGTTAAATGAACTGTGTGCCTAATTAGCAGGAGTTAGCGGAGTTTATTAAAAATTAAGCAAACTGCTCAATAATCTGCAGGAAAAAAAAAAAAAAAGAGAGAGAGAGAGAGAAAAAAAAAAACATTTGGACTCAAATATCCTAAATTACTGGTGGCGTTGTGATGCTGCTCCATTACCTGGTGTCATGGTAAAGGACAGGAAAAGCAGTAAGTGTGGTCACAGGGCTGCTGGGCTTTTGCAGTGCTGAATGCACCAAGTGGCTCCCCCAGCACAGCTCTTTGGCAGGAGATCTCTTCCCAGAGCAAAGGGAAAAAGGGGCTCTTGTAGGGATGAGATTTTCTGGATCCCAGAGAACTGATGCTGTCCATCACCGAACTGGCCTCAGAGACCTCGCTGGGGCTCCGCTCCCCTGTTTGCAGCAGGATGGTGGGGTGCAGGGGGCCGTGAAAGCATCCCCTGATGTGCTGCAGTACAAGCAGCAACCCCCAGTCCTCCAATATTCCCAGGATGAGCATCATTTCCTTGGGATGTGCAAAACAGCACGGTGCAATGGTCTCTTCACTGCTGGCTTCCTCCAGTCCTTGGCAAGCTGGAGTTTTGTCTCCAGCACAAGGTGCACCTGACGCACATCCCCACGGGGATGCGTTAAGGAGCTTTGCCTCCAAATCCTCTCCTCTGCCTGCACCGAGTGCCTCTTGGCACCCAGCCGAGCTTTGCACATCACCACCAAGGAGAATGTCATTTAGTCCCCGTTGTTTTGCTGCTCAGCCTTCGAGCAATTTGCTACAGATGTGATAGAACAGATCACCTCAACCTTCAGCCCAGCCCTGGCACAAAGCGGAAGCATCCGTGGCTGCCTAATTGATCGAGCGCTGCCGTTACTTCCGTTAAATAATAATAATAAAATAAAATATCCAAGCCAGCTGTTTTGCACAATAAGGCTCTGGTTTATTTTTTAAAAAATGGAAGTGTAATGAAAGTTAAATTAACAGTGTAAAATATGTAACGGTTGGGCCATAACAGCTGCATGCTAAATGCTGGGGTTTGTTTCTCTCTCTCTCTCTCTCTCTTTTTTTTTTTTCCTCTCCTTTTCCTCCTGAGGATTCAGTAATTTGCTCGTGATCATATAAAAGCAATGATGTTATGAATTTAGTGAGGATCCTGCTGGCAGGGATATTATAAGTGAATTGTGCTGCATTTGCAGCTGATTAAAATTGAGATCAGCATTTTTCAAATTATCTTGGGAAAATAATGGGTGTGCGGCTCCCCCTTCTGCTGTCAGCTCCCTTTTGTACCAAACATAAACAATAAGGGGAATCATTTCTGTGGCGAAACTGCTGCGATTTTCAGGAGCAGCTCAGTGGCTATTTTGCTGGGGAAACCTGAAGCCCCTAATTGCTTTCCAACTGAGGACAAGAGGTTATTTTCACCGTTTCCTGCCTACTTTTTTTTTTTCCTCCCCTTTTATAGGGTAACCTCCCTCAAGTAATAAACTTTTAACTGTATTTATAATTGACTAGCATCCTTAAGCAAGTGCAAGGCACAGCAGAAACCTTAATAGACACTCAGGGCTGTGCTGAGCGGCCGCGTGTACTTGGTGTGCCATCGGGCTGGCGAGCAAGGGGACAGTGGCTCCTTTCACAGCACTTATTGCTAATTAACACTGGCCATGTCAGCACTGCCACCACATCTCCAGCACAATTTAACCAGCCCTAATCGGTGCTGGAGGCACAGGGATGGAGGGTTTGTGCTGGGACGGACAGCAATTCCTGCTCCCAAAGGTGTTTGGTGCGAGCGTGTCCTCCTTGGGGGGGTGTCAGGGTCCAAAGTCAGGACCCAGGAGGCCACCTGGCATCCTAAGGCGCCCACCCAGCACGGTTTTTGACCTTCTGTGTGATGGGTTGGGACTCCCCAGCAGCTGCTGTTCGGCTGTTTTGCTGCAAGTGTGGCGCTGATGTGGTCTGCTGGCTGGCTTTGGGTCTTTTTAGGGGGGCAGCCATCTGCCTCCCATACCCATTGCTGTAAAAACAGAGCTTATATACCCTGAAGTGGGGTTCCCATCACATATTTGGTAGAAGTAACTACATGTTTGTGTCCCTGTCCCCTGGTTTTGGACTTAGAAAGCATCTCTCCTCCTGTGCCATGCAGCTTCTGCCCCACAGCACCAGCAGTCTGGTGGGGAAGGTTCCCTCCAGCACCGTCCTGCTCTGCTGCCCTCCATCCCCTGCTCAGCTCGGGAACAAGCCCCTGCAGTGAGAAAAGCTCCCAGCCTGGTTTTGTTGCCATCTGTAGCCATGGGAATAACAGGTAGAGCCCAGCAAGTTCCACAGATTCTTAAAGCCCATGGGAAGAAACATCCCAGCTGATGCAAAGCAGTGTGACCCTCTCCATCATTAAAGCACCGACCAAAGAAAATCCAGATGAGGTCCCCAAACACGAGCACTCACTTCCTACACTTCATCATCTTTATTTTCCTTCCATCCCTCTTCATTCCTATGTGTATTTTTTTTTTCCCTGTGCCCAGGTGTCCGGTTCCTGGCTGCGTTGGGCTTGGACACATCAGTGGCAAATACGCCTCGCACCGGAGCGCCTCGGGGTGCCCCCTCGCAGCCCGCAGACAGAAGGAAGGATCCCTCAACGGCTCCTCGTTTTCCTGGAAATCGTTGAAAAACGAAGGCCCGACCTGCCCCACCCCGGGCTGCGACGGCTCCGGACACGCCAACGGGAGCTTCCTCACTCACAGGAGGTAAAGGATGGGCTGGAGGTCGCCCCAAGCATGGCACCATTCTGCAATGGATAAAAACACTTGGAAATGCTTGGTTCTTGTCACTTTTCAGTGGCGAGGTGTGAATTGACCAAAGTCATGAAAAGCAGTGATATAATGTCATTTAGCACGCCAGCTCAGGACTTTGGCAGCCAAAATGGGGGCTTGTTGCCCAATCCATCCAGACTCGCTTCACCTTCCTTGCCTGTCATGCCCTCTCTTTTAGGAAACAACACATTTTTTAAAAAATCTTTGCTCAGAGAAAATTGCTCTTGCTTTATAAATGAGGACCTTTGTGGCATTATTCATAAAGCAATTTCCTCTGCACCATAAAAAGCTTTTAGAAGGGCTGTCTCACAGCGTGAGCTCCACCAAATGGTACGTGCTCTTGTTGGGAACATAGCACCTATAAATACGGAGAGTTTATGAAACCCATTTTTACTTGCTTTTCAGTTTGTCAGGGTGCCCACGAGCTACTTTTGCTGGGAAGAAAGGAAAACTCTCAGGGGATGAAATTCTCAACACTAAGTTCAAGACCAGCGATGGTAAGGATTTGCACTCATTTTTTTCTGGCAGGTGTGTCAGGTACCAAACCCCTATGGCTTGTTCTTCGCAGATTGAAACCCGGCCTCAGTTTTACTAGCAAATCCTGTGCTATGAACACCTCTTTTGGGGTCTCCTCAGTGTTGGGGGTGGTGTGGCACTGATGCTGCTCCCTGAGTGACACAGGTGAAATGGCAAAGGGGATCCCATAGTGAAGTGGTGCTGAAATTGAGATGTTTTTTTCAAGTATTCTCTGGCATTTTCACAAGTCCCTTTCAGTCATTTTGCTATTTTCACCCATTCAAGACTTTTAATCCCACAGATATTTCTGGATCTGGAGTTTTGTTAGCGATGGCACTATCACTGTTTCTGGTGCTATCACTGAGGGGGTTTGGTATTGGGCAAGCTTTGGACGTTTTACTTGAATTCTTATATATTTTGGAAGATAAATTTCTTCCAGAAAAGTTCCCTTATTTTACCAACCCTGTGGTTTCTAATTAAGACACACATTCATTTTTCAAATGATGTATTCCTGACTCAGGACCAGACAGAGCAGTTGTCGGGGCAGCCAGCCTTGCAGGGCGTGCGGATGCACTGGGCTCCAGCCTCTATGCTCTACTTTGCTTTTGCATTTACATATTGACCTATAAAGCACTATTGAACCGTGCTGCTGAAAGCCTCGCTTAAAAAATAAACAAAAAATAGAGCAAGCGAGATGTGCATCCCGTGCTGAGGACGTGAAAGCAAAGGTGAGGACGCTGGGAGGTGTGATGCCTGCCTATGTGAAGGGGCTGAGCTCCTGCTGCTTTCCCTCCTGCAGTTCTGGAGAACGATGAAGAGATCAAGCAGCTGAACAAGGAGATCAGTGAGCTGAACGAGTCCAACTCGGAGATGGAAGCTGCCATGGTGAAGCTGCAGTCGCAGGTTTGTGAGCGTGGATGTGCAGAGGAGCTCCCAGAGGGTGGTGGTGGGTGCCCTCGACGGAGGGCTGCTAACCCTGCCTGCTCCTTGCTCTGCAGATCTCCAGCATGGAGAAGAACCTGAAGAACATTGAGGAGGAAAACAAAATCATAGAGGAGCAAAACGAAGCCCTGTTCCTGGAGCTCTCAGGGTTGAGCCAGGCTCTAATCCAAAGTCTTGCCAATATCCGCCTTCCGCACATGGTAAGAAACTTTGTCGGCGCCCGGCCCCAGTTGGGGTGATGGAAGGAGCAGAGCGAAATCGGGCTTAGATAAGGCTTATGGACCACTAAAAAGGGGGAGAATTTCTCTATGTACACCTACCCGTCCTTTATAAGATCAGTGCTTTTGCCTTATCTCTGAAGCTTGCATTATATCTCCCTTTTGTTGTCATTTTCTGCTGATCTCCTTTTGTATCTATTGTTCTGTCTCATTACATCTGGGAGTATTATCACAAAATAGGAAACTTTATCAAGGGCACCCAGCGCCTTTTAGGCTAAGACAGCACAAGCAGAGATCAGGAGGGATTGGATTTCAACGTCAGAGAGATCTTACAGCTCCCATTATAATGCAGGTAGTTTCAATTCAGTTTTGAATAGCTGGCAGCCAAAGAATAGCATTCTTAAAGAGAGTGTATTTTGTTTAATTTAACAAGGTCTAACAGCCCACAGCATGTTACCATAGAGTTACTGCAAAATGAAAAGGCTGCATTAAAATAGTAAAACCACAAAAGGCTATTAATTACCTTCCCTCTATTCCCAGGAATGTAATTACTGTTGTCAAAAACAGGTGTGTGCAGGGGGGGCTGCGTGCTGGTGGGGAAGCTGTCCTCTTACAAGCCATAACGACCATCACGATGATCAGAGGAATGAGCTTTTGATTTATTTTTTTTTTTTTCTGCCATCATTTTTTGGGAACCCTTTTCATTGGGGGCTGTATTTAAATTCAGGCTGGTTGGAGACGCGCCATCCTCCAGCAGAGCACTTTTGGACAGTATTCACCCAGCTGCCTAACTGGCAGAAAACCGCTCACTGAGTGCTTTTTTTTTGTGAAGTATTTGACTCATAAAGGTCAAATAAACTGTTCAGCAAATATATTTTCAAGGTTTCAGGCAACTCCAATTAAATAAGGCCCAGGAGACTTGTATGCTTATTTTATTCCTGTTCTTTTTCTTCCTCCTCCTTGTTACTTTTTTTCTTCCCTGTTAACCCTGAAATAGATGTTGGCAAGGTTTCCACGATGCCCCTCAAAAGCCAAAGCTGTCCAGCAGCAGCAGCATGCTGGTGTGGGCAGACACGAGCCCAGGGTGATCTGCTCCTGTCCTAACTTCGCCTTTGATTCCCCCTGTGATGCTCCAGCAGTCCCTGCCTCCTCCTCCAACCTTTCATTTCCATGGCTTGATTCAGCCTCGAGCCCATCAAACCGCCTGCACACACTTAACCTGGTGCTGTTAATTGTTCCTCATGGCCAATGCATTAAAAATTGAGCAACCAGTGAAGATTTTGGAGGATCAGGGGCTGCACAATGAGTTTCCCGTACACACAGCACCGCGCACAAAGAGTCTCTGATGTCGAGACCGTTGGCTGTTGGTATGATTAATTGCAAAGAAAGATTTCAATCCTTCCCTGCTCCACTGCTAACACTTTTATTTGGCTTTTTTGGCTGCAGGAGCCCATTAGCGAGCAGAACTTCGATGCGTACGTGAACACGCTGACCGACATGTACACCAACCAGGAGTGCTACCAGAACCCGGAGAACAAGGACCTGCTGGAGAGCATCAAGCAAGCCGTCAAGGGCATCCAGGTTTAGTGCCGCGGGATGGAGACGGGCAAGCAAACAGACTGTAAGACGGAACTTTCCCTCCAAGTATTCAGGTTTACAAGTTGTAAAACTTGTTTAATGAATGAAAAAAAAAAACAAAAACAAAAACACACAAAGGACCAAAACGTAACCAAGAGGCCATTTCTGAGACGTGGAACTGATCGAACTCAATGTTCTCGTTTACTTAACTTTGGACCTTCTTAGGAAAAGTGGGATTTTTCTCCCTGGACCACGAGGTAGACCAGGATGGAAGGTTAAATTCTCCAGTAGGCTGTGGGGCTCGGTAGCTGGTGAAGAGCAGGCGTCTTTCATAAGCTGCCGTGCTTTCACAGAGTTGATCCAAGGGTTAAAACGTTACAAGAACAGGGTTTTGTCTGATCCAAGACTAGCGTATGACTGGCTCAAACCCTCATGTTGTCTATGGTCGTATGTCCAGATCACCTACTCACCCATGAATTATGTTATATGTTGCTATAAGTGCTGGAGCTGCAAGCTACCTGTAAATCTGAACCTGTGCTGGGCCTCCCAACCCCAGGAGTTCAGATATCCACTGGGCATGGGAACTCTTAAGTATTATAAAGTAGCTTATTTTTATTTTCTGAAAGAAATCTGAAGAGCAGTTCTGGATCTCCAGTGGAAAGCGCAATGGAAAAAAGGTTCTCAGGGAAGCTTTTGGAGTTTGCAACTACAGTATTCCTTTGTCTGTCTTAAATATGAGAATAGCTATTATGAATAGGCCAATACCAGATATTTCATACAGAAGAATTCTTAATGTGTCATGGTCCGGTGTATATGATTTTTTGGAAGTCTGTTTGATGACGGTTCTGGTTCTTTTCATTATTGTGATCATCCTTACAGTGGCGCAGTACTGCCAGTCCAGAGATCATACATCAATGCCAGAGAACGTTTGAGATTGCGATGAACAAAAAAAAAAACCGCAAACAAACAAACAAAAAAGCAACAAAAAGAGAAATGTTAATTGATGGCCAGCAAAGTGCTTACTTAACGTGAATCAGCAGTTTATTTCTTGCAGATATCCACAGGGCAATGGGTTTTTCTTGGTTTGGTGTTCTACACCTTGTGCAAAATCACAGCACAAGCGCCGCTCTGGAGGAAAAACAAAAAGAAGAAAAAAAAAAAGAAAAAGGAAAAAAAAAAAAAGCATTCAGGTATTGGGTATTGTTCCAAAGAAGCATTTTGTAAGCAGCTCGGTACGTGCAGCTCCGTGAATGTCTCTGCGATGCTCCAGCATCCAGGCTGAGCGCGGTGGGGATTGGGGGGCCATTTCGGCACCTTTCCAAGAAAAGGAGAGGTGGGAGCTCCTTTTTTTTTTTTTTTTTTTTTTTTTTTTTTTTTCCATTAGCTCCCACCCAGGGCTCGCTGCCACCCTGGTGCAAACACCTTGGAAGTGGAAGGGGCAAAACCCCTCCAGGGTCCCCCACATGGCTCCTGGTGGCGTTGGGGCAGAGCAGAGGTGGGGAGGATTTTGGTGACCGATGCTAAAGGCGAGGCCGTGGTGGTGTTTCGAGCCCAATCCTGCAGCTATTTGGGGCAGAATCTGTGATTTGGAGAGGTCGGTGGGGAGCTCAGCCTGGGCTGGTTCCCCTGAGGAGCTCAGTGGGTGCACGGCCACGCTGAGGCCTCCGCGGGCTCAGACTCCGTGAGTTTGCTTATTTTAGAACCCATTCCAAGTGCAAAACTACAAAAGAAAGGGGAAAAAATAATAATAATAATAATAATTTGAGGTGTTAAAAACACAATGTTCTTAACATGTAAATAGAGTCCAAATTGATTGTGACTGCAATTCAGTTAGTATTTAAAAGTAGAGAAATTGCACTTCCTGGAAGAAAGAGAGGAAAAAAAAAAAGTAGTTAGTTTAATTATCCTGTAAATTATTTAATTTTGGCAAGATGTATGTAATTTATATTTACAACACCTTATGTTAACTTTTTCTATTTATTTAACTTTTTTATTTATTAATTTTATACTTACTTTAAACTGGACACCGCACCATAGAAAAGAAGATAAAAGAAGCAAAAAAAAGTTTAAAATTAAAACTTTTGACCATAAAAAATGATATTCCAAAAAAAAAAACACCCTATCTACAACTCCTACTTGTAATTTTGATGCAACCAAGTTATTTTTTATATATTTTGTTATTTATTCTTTTAACGATGGGAATTTTTTTAAAGATATTTTATAACTGAGACATTTTGATAATTTTTTGGTTTGTTTTTTTGTGGGGGCAGGGGCACCGGGGGAAGAGAGACTTTTTCAGTTTTTCTTTTCTTTTTCATTCATATTGTTTCAGGCACTGATAACAGGAAATGAAAATTCTGTATTTATTATTTATTTAATATTTAAGTCGAGAAAAAAAAAAAATGAACTGTGCTCTTGTTGTATATTTATTTTGTCGTTTGTGTGTCGGTTATGTGATGACTGAGTACTTGTTTATGTGAAGGAATACTGTTAATATTTAAATAATAAAGAGTCACATTGAAAGTTATAGCAGGCTACATGTTATTCTGTGAAAATGAATACTGTGATCTACTTTCCTCAGGAAATGTATTTTGCAGACAGAACTTCCTTATGTACTGGCAGGGTTATTTCGTAATAAAACCCAGTTCTGTTTGTGACTTTAGTTCCTATGGTCTTTCTTCGAGCTTCTGCCAACGTCCCCGACGTGTCCCCGAGCGGGGGTCGCATCCTGCACCCCCAGCACTCAGCAGCCCTGCGTGAGCACAGGAGGTGCAGGGGGAGGACAGGGTGCAGGATGGATGCTTTCACCCTTTGGATTTACTAAAAAAAAAAATCACAGAATTGATCTTTGAGCTTTAACTTAAATGCTGGGAGGCGGTTGTTCTTCTCGACAGGATTGCCTCGCTTTTATTTGCCTGGCTCCCAGGCTGTCCTCGTCAAGGAGCGGAGATGCTTTGCTGGAGGAAGAATCTCGTTTCTGAAGCTGTGGCAATGAAGGGGATTCATCACCGTGCTCTTCGTCGGAGGAGGCATTTCGGAAGTCACCGAAATTCACTTTAGCTCTGCTGGAGCTGCAGCTTCCGAGGTGAAATAAGGTAAATCACATTAAGGCCGTTTGGAGCTGAGCGAGTTGGGGCGAATGGGAATTTCAGGCAGGTCTGTCATTGAGAAATTCATTTCTCTTATTAAGTGAGCTGAGCCTCCTGGCTGTCCCCGCACAGGGGCACGAGGGGCGCTGGGTTGTGCCGGAGGCAGCGCTGTGATGGCACGGGCATGAAAGGCGGAGTGAAAGGGAGGCAGACGGGTAAGGACTGGAGCCAGAGAAAGCTGGAGCAAGGTTTTGGGATAGAAACAAGATTCCTTAAAGCCTTTCCTCAAAGATGCATGGCCGTAGTGTTCACTGGAGGCTTTTTTCTCTCTGTTGGGTGTCTGCGAGCTGCAGACTGGGCGAGCGGCAGAGTTTGGAGCCCAGTAGTGCGACCACAGTGCGACCAGTCACCAGCAGCTCTCCAGAAAAAAAATAAAATTAAAAAAAAATGAGGCTATTAAGTTTCGGGGTGTGAAAGCCACTCCAAACACAAAACCAAAAAATTATTATCTCCATGAACTGGACAAGGACTCTTTGAGGTTTTGCTGGAGACCTCGCGGAGCTCACGGGGTCCTGCCCCCTCCACAACGAGCGGCACAGCTTAAATGGGAAAAGGGGGCAGACTCGCGTGATGGCACGCCTAAACTGGCTGGCATGGCTTTTTTCTGAAGGGCACGGCATTGTTTTGGGGGGGTGTTGACAGGCTTTGCACCACGAAGCAGTTCGTTGTGCCAATATTTGATGATGATGATCGAGCTAATAGGCGCGCTCGCGCGTCCTCTCCTAACGAATTGGCCGCGCTGCATAATGGAGCGGTTGGATTTGTGTTAAATTGCAGCTTTGGGAGCCATCACTGTGAGATGTTATCTTCTCCGAACTGGCGTCCTTTATCGCAGGGAAGGGAATTGAATTGGTTTAAGATGGTACACTGTGCGTTTATAGGTGTGCTTAGGAGAGCTCTTAAGCCTCCTCCGACAAGCGGAGGGTGAGAGCTGCGCGGCAGAGGACAGCGGGGCTTTGCTTCCAGGATGAAGGGAAAAGCTCCTTGTCAGCATACGGTCGTTTCTAAACACGTCGATAAATCATTGACCAACGAGAGCACCATTTGGCCTCGCTGATGCCACTGTTAATTGTTGAAAGCTGCTAATGACCCTTCCCTCTGTTCTTCTGCTCAAGCCGTACCTTCCACTCGCTCCGGCAAGGGCTTTTGGGGGGAGCAGAAAGGGGTTTCTTTCCCAGCCTTGTATTTTTTTTTCTGATTTTCTTCCCCTCGAGCTCCTCTGGGTGATGTCTCAAGGCTCCCACCTGATCCATGCCCTCCTTTCCACCTGCCTCCTTGCCACCAGGCCCCTCGGTGAGCCGTGGTGGTCCTGGCACCACCTGCATCCTGCCCACCCCACCAAAAACCCTCATGGGGACAAGGGGGGATGGTGCACGGTAGCCTCCAGAAAGGCCAACCATGATCACGTCAAGGGTCTGAAAAGACTGGTGTGGTCAGGATGGGGTGGCCTCCTCCTCCATCAGGTTTTCCACCAGGGAGAGAAGACAACTGTGCTCTCCAGAGCTGCTTTTTGGCAGGGACCTCACCCCCTTGGGCCCCGAGAAGATGGTGCTGAGGGTGCTTGGGCCACCACAGCCCCCCCGACCAGCACTGAGCCCAGCAGGGCTCGTGGGACTGGGGCTGTAGGGAAGCGCGAGGATGATGCATTCGTCAAATAGCTCTCGTTATTCCAGATGCCTTCACCTCCTTCTTTCTGCAGGACGAATACATCACCAACTGCTGTAAAAACGGTGCTATCAGATTTAAAGGCATTTTCATCGCTGTCAGCTGGGAAGTACAGCAAGCATTAAAGCCTGCGTTCATTTGTGGAACGGCAACGCTCTTTTGTTTGAATCTCAGTGATGATCTGGAGAACCATGAGCCATGAAGAGACAGAGCAAGGACATGAAAACTCAAGCTCCAGGACTGGCACCAAGGGTCAGAACACGCCAGGAGGAGCCTGGACATGCTCGGGTTTGGTGTCTGACCCCACAACTTCAGGGGACATATGGGGAGAGACTCAGCCAGGCATGACCATGGCTAACTCCAGCATGTCCTTATCGAAGCCATGATGTGCCAAAGCATTTCCCTGCATCTCCCTACTCCCAGCAAGTCCCAGAGTCCCCCCAAATGGCATGAGGCCAACTAGTCTGGACCCAACCAGGGGCTACCCTGGACTTTGCACCAGTTTAATGGTGCTGGCCTCAGGGGATTTGGTTTTGGCCCGAAGCTCGTCGAGCCCAAGATCGAGAATCAGCTCCTCAGGTTTTGCCATTGCCAGAGGACTCCTCGGGCTTCAGCATTTAATAATCCAGCCCAACCATGCTGAGGCTGTTCAGCAATTAAATAACATAAATCCAGAAGCTAGATTAATAAACAGTTTAGTCCGTCTAGAGCAGTCTACAGGGTGGAGAGATAAAACTGTAAGATATTTATTACTGGCTCGGGGATGAAGTCATTAATTTAATAACTACCCATTGCTTTCTTCTTGCAGTTGTTAGCAGTCTGGAGGTTACAGAAGATTAGGTGGGAAACTCGCTGCCTCCCCGCCGAGAGGAGCCTTTCCCATGAAAGCCGGAGCCCAGCTCCCATCTGTCACCCCATTACGGCGGAGGTGGTGAATGTATTACCCAAATACAACAAAACCCAAATTTCTGCTGGCCACATGGCAACCCTCCACGGAATTTAATGAGGATGCTGCCCTTTGTGCGCGGGGCCATTTCCAACAGCTGTAGAGATGAAGGCAGAGGACATTCACCGGTGCTCGCTTGTTGCCGGTGCCTTTGAGCACCGATGCTCTGCTGCCTCTGGTCCTGCAGCGTTGGGAGTGTCGTCAGCTCCCTCCTCTGTGCTTTCTCAGCGGGTTTGCACGTTTTCATGGGAGGGAACATGGGAATTATTTTGGTCCCTGCTGTGATCTGATATTGGGGAGCTTCCAGGACTTAGATATCAGCATCCTCTTTAGAGTGATTACGGATGGAGCCTTCTGATGAGCGTGGTCTCCCGCTGACAGCTCCAATCCACGGCGATGCTGCGGCAAAAGTCGGGCAAGGGGGGTGAGGGAGGGTGCCTGTTTGCGTGTCCTTGGCAGATTTTGTCATCGTTTGACCCGGGGACAGAGAAGAGCTTTCATCCCAACGAAGTGCCATGGGGAGGCCGGGTGTGATGTGTGAACACATGCTCCTGCCAGCTCCGGCGAGGAAGGGACTGAAACGCTCGTCATCTCCCTGCACTGACTGTGGAGGTAATCAAATTGCCTAAATAACTTAATCGAATCATTAGCCTGCTTTGGAAAATAAATAAAATACAACCAGGCGTGTTCTGTGGGCGCGGGGTGCAGACCGGCGGCTGTGCGCACACGGAGACGTGGGTGCAGGCACAGCCAGCCCTGCCAGGGCAGCCTCCAGCTGCAGCATCGTGGGGAGGAACGGCTCCAGCAGCACTTGGCACCCGTCCCTGTCCCTGTCCCTGTCCCTGCCACATGGCACGGCAGGGTGCTGCAGGGCTCCTGGGCAGCTCTGTCCTGGAGGTGCCACAGGTCCCCAGCATTGCTTACGCTCCTGGCTCAGCCACTGGCCTTGGAGAAGCCCCTTGCTCCTAAAGCCTTAGAGGGCAGCAGAGCCACACGGAGCCATTCTGAGCAAAGCAGAAACAGGTGGGAGCCCCGAGCATCTGAAGGATGGATGAGAAGTTGACAGGATGGATGAGAAGTTGACAGGAGGGATGGCTGCAATGGGGAAAGGCACCCGTGTGCTCCAAAGCAACAAGGAGCATCTGCAGCCCAGCAGCGAGGGATGCTGAATTTCAACTCGCAGTTTGGTGTGGCTGAGGAATGCAGCAAGCACCGAGCAGCCTTGTTTTCAGGTCATATCCAGGTAATCTGTTTGACTCAAATTATTCTCGATGACTGCCCGGGGCAGAAAGCAAAGCAACGTCCCTGAAATAATGTTCTGGCTTCTCCGCAAAGGAGACGCTCGCGTGAGGTTTGCGGGCAGCTCGGAGCAGGCAGGTCTGAAACTGGGTCTCCAGGCACTGGAGATGAGAAGCTCTGGGCAGGTGGATGCCTTGGCCAAGATGCTACGCTATGGCTCAGAGACATCAGGCTGTGTTTTAGAATAGACAGAGAGAGATTTTAGTGGTACCTGAAGCAGGAGGGGAAGGGGAAAGAGAGAGAGAAACTGCTTGTGCACCTGGTGGGCTTCTTTAGTGCACAACAGACCTGCAAGACATTTCTGTCATCACCCAAAAAAAGTAACCGAGGCACTTCTGCAGAGTGCTAACCTCAATTTTCCCTTACTATGGGCTAATTTGCAACTGTCAGCATAAGCACCTTTGTCCTGACCATCCTGTACTCCGGTCCACATCCAAGACGGGCAGGGCTGATGCAGAGGCCCTTCCCCGGTATCATGTCATCGCATTACCCTTTCATTTCTCTTATCAACGCCACCAGTCAGTTCCGCTCCTTATTCCCGGCCGTTATCACAATGAGCCAAGAAAGTGCAGAGTTTCAGCCAGGAGGAGAAAAAAAAAAAAAAGAGAACAGGTGAAATTCTGATGTTGTCAGCTAAAATAGTTTCCAGCTGAGCTCTGCCCGCAAAGAGGCTGAATCTCAGGGATTTAGTTGCCAAATGTTGCATTTGCTTCCCGTCCCTCCTCTCGGCTTCTAGCTCAAAGTGGAGCCCTGACACTGCAAAGTGTTAATAGAATTAGCCCCCTGCTACAAACTGGTCGCTGGGGCTTGTTAGCTCAATTGTTGATGCTAAATTCTTATCAGAGGCACCTAAAAGAGCGCTAATCTAGAAAGGCTGAACTCCCCGCCTGGGTCGGAGAAATTTAATTAAACCCCAAGTAAAACTGGAAAATCGTTTTGAAAAGAGAAGAGATGAATGCAAAATGGTTTTCATCGTTTGACTCTGCATCTATGCAGTTCAAACCCTCGCCCGTGATTGCACAGAGAGTTTTGCTGGAGCAAAGGCTGAGTGAAAGGCAAGATGAGACTGATGCTCACCCAGTGAAAAGAGAAAAATACCGAGTAAGGACTGCTGGGCACCAGGACCCACAAATGTAAAGGAGCACAATGCCCTTCCAAGTGAAACAGTGATCTCCTGGAGTATGATTGTGTTATGGCTATGGGTTTAGGGATTTGTAACTATTTTCCATTTGCTGTGCAAAAAGACTCGTGCAGCTTTCACACTAGTTGTTAGCAGACGCAGCCAGGTATTAGGAACAGCGTAGGCGGTGCAGTAAGACCTTGTGCAGGATATTGTGGGCAGTTCTGGGACCTGTCTTTGGGAAAGGAAAGGATGAATTTACCCTTGAACAGGTGCAGGAAGGACTGGCGGGGTGATTAGCAGAATGGAGAACCTATCTTTGGAGAGGAGATTAAAAGAGCTCGGCTTGTTTAGCCTAGAAAAAACAAAGGTTAAGAGGGGATATGATTACTCCTCATAAATACACGCAGGGTGGGAGGAAGGGGAATGATTTAAGTTAGAGGATAATGCTGGTGGGAGATCAAATAAAGTGCACCTTGGCCAGGAATATATTCCCATTGGGAATGTGAAGATGTTCACATTCCCAGGTGCTTTTGCAGGCACTTTTGGTAACTCTTTCTCATCCCCAGAGCAGGTGGTGCAGGCAGGGGACTGCTCCGTCTGCTGGCTGTTTCCTGCCTTTGACCACGCAGGACTTCATAGCAGCTGCCCTCCTTTCCGCTCCGACATCTCAGCTAAGTGAGATGAATCCAGGTCTTTATGGGGCCTTTTTTTCCAAGTGGCAGTGGTTATGCACAGGGCAATACGGTGCAAATCAAGACAGATGTGCTTCCTCTTTGCGCAGCAATTACTCACAGAGCCCTTCGGTAAGTGAGACAAGAGGAAAGCTTTCGGAGACACGGACACACACATATACCCTCTGCATGGGCAGGAGGATTTAGGTGATCTGCTGCCAGTTTTTTTGTAGGAATACTTGTGTAAATGCACATGTGCCTGCGTGTATTTACGTGTATGTGTGTGTGTGTTCATATGTATAAGCTTCTGACCGTGGTGTAGTGCCAAGGTGACCAGAAAAGGCAACAGAGGTATTGTGCACAATTTAAAAAAAAAAAAAAAAAAAAAAGGAAATGGTGAAAATATAACCCCATGATTTAATGATCCTCCAAATCTTGATTTACATGAGCCACCCTGTCACCCACGAATTGCTGTGTTGACTTAGCCACCTGCACTGCAAGGCTGCAGGTCAGGCGGAGCTCAGCCTGCTGGCCCCCAGCCGGGCGCGAAAATTAATTGTTACTATTTCCTCTTTCAAATGAACAAAACCATCCCATTTTAACTGGCCGTCCCCACCGTGGAATTCAGGAAGTTAATTCATGTTGGCTGGTGCTTTTAGAAATATTTATAAAAGAAATCGGGTTTTAAAAAGGAAGGAGGAAACAGTGGAAAGCAAGGAAATCAATAGAGGGACAGCAAGAAAAAGCTATCAGCTCGTCCTCATGAAAACTGCTTGCTCTCAGCAATTAGGGATCTCAGCTAATGAAGGCTGCAGGCCTGATCCTTGCTGGTGAGCCTTGGAGCTGGGGGGGATGCTGAGGGGCAGGCGCTGAGCCCCGCAGCAGTGGCCGTGCTGCTGGGGCCACCTGCCGGTGCTGCTGCCTGGAGGCGCTGGGTCCCTGGGGTCCCAACCCAACCCTTCTGTTTTCCTAAATGTGGGGATTTTCGCAATAATCCAAATTCTCTGCATAAACAGGAGAACTACGTGTTCAAAGAACCCAGAGGGGAGAAGAGCTGGCAGGGGAGCAGAACAAGCAGGTGCCAAGGGGAAAGCTGGGGGTGAAGTCATGCGGCAGCAAAATGTGCCCGTGTGGTCACGGCTCTGCCTTACTCTTCTGTTACTCATCCCTCCTACATCGTGACTCGGGCCAGGTACTGCAGACACACTCAGAGTTAGAGCTGCAGAAAATAACCCATCCCTTAGGGGTGCTCATCTTCCTTTAGCCGGTCCCTCCCCAAGGCTCGTGTCCCCAAACACATTTGGGGTGCAGGCAACCAGGCAGGGACTCGTGGTTTGTGTCTTCCCTGGTGCTTCTCCTGGCTCACTCCTGTAATTCTCTGGAAACAGGCGGGCTGCATCTCACAAATCCTGGAAGCAAAAGGCTGTTAGGAATCACAAATACACCTGGGAGGTGCAGGTGCGTATTTGGGAATCTCTAAAACATTCCTCTAGCACTTTCTGGTCTTCTTGGGGTCTTGCTGCAAGAAGAGGTGCTGCTGCTGGATCTTTCTCCTTCCCTCAGTAACACTTTGCTGGGAGGTACAGCAGTGCCCCCCACCACTCCTGCTGCTCTCACATCGCTGCTGACCTACTGATAATGGGAAATTTTTACCCAGCTTTTATTTTAACTATTTTTTTTCAAGCAGCTCTACTGGGAAGGGGAGCAGATGCTGAATGGAAGCCCGGGAATCATACGTGCGAGGAGTTTGTCGGTTCTGTGTTTGCAGATTTCAACCGTGCTGCCATTATGCTCGGGTGCTTTTCTTATTAAACAAGACGAGGCAAGCACAATCAACATGTCCTGTTTTGGTTGAATCAGCAAGGAGGAGTTCAGTGCTCACTCTCCACAAATAATCCCATTCTCCCAGGCAGCTGTCTTCTGCAAAATGAAAGTGCAGACATCTACAGTATTACCCAGTGCCTGTTTGCACGGAGTCTGCTGTTATCATGTTAATGAAGGGAGCAGAGATAATCACCTTAACGCATAAATACGCGGATGCTGATTCACTTTCTCTTATTTGAGTCCAATTTGCCAGGCTATTTCTTTTTTTCCCCCGCTGCAGGCTTGTTGTGTCTGGAAGGACAGCTATTTTATTATTTTTTTTCCCCCACAAATCATCTTCAGACAAATCAAGAAGCCTCTTGTCTAGATGTGGTTATTCCTTCTCATTTCACAGCCATACACAGCACCAAGTCCCTGATCTAAGGCTAGTTCAGACAATTTTGTCTGATCTGCAGCCATAGAGGTCAGACCGATCCCACAGCCTCAGCTAACATCGTGTGGGTAACTTATGGATGGAGACACACTTAGAGGATAATTTCTCTTATCCTCAGACCCTGCCAGGTTGGTTACAACCAGAGAAGGAGCCCACATGGTTGGGTATAATCCGAATTATGTGTCTAACACTCAGGCAGATAATGTCAGGGGACAGGATCTCCCTGCTGCACAAATGGGGAGTCGGATATTGAGGCAGTCTGGCGATAACCCTCCATGGTTCCTTCAATCCCCAACCCCGAGAGTCAGGTTAAGAAGCATCTCCCTTATTTACTTCTCAGAGAATTTGTTTTTCATATTAATGGGTGTTGAAAACAATAATAATAATAATAAAAATCCTAGCGTGTTGGATGTTCATAGGCTCAAAATGCAGAATATCAATTAGCCCCCAGAGCAATGCTTTTTCCACGTTCCCATATATATATATATATATATATATATATATATTTTTTTTTTTTTTTTTTAAATTTTTTTTCCAAGCCTGACTAATGATAGCAGAACATCTGGTGTTGGCCATGCTTCACGTGGGAGGCTCAGCTACGGCGCGAGGACTGCGTGTGCCAGCCGGAGGCTGGCATCTCCCCAGCACCGCTCCCACTGCTCCCGCACCCCAGGGAGCCCCGATCCCAGTGGGATCTGGGACAAGGCACTGCTGTCACAGCGGGGTGGCAGGGCACGAGGATTCGAGGGTTGGGACAACTGGGAGAACTGGGAGGGCTGGGTGCTGAGCTCAAAAAGAAGCTGAGCCCGAAATTAGGGCAGTGTACGGGGTATGGGACTGGGGGGAAGGCAGTCACCATGGGATGGGGACATGGGCACGGGGCTGTATTTCAACTTGGGCCATATTTAGGACAGATCTGTGGGTGCGGGCTGTTGGCACAGCCTCTCTTTAGGCCTGGTCTGCCTTTAGGTCTGGCCGGTGTCATAAAACCATGGAATTATCCCTGCTCTGCTGGCCCCGCTGGCACTGAGCCCCGGTCTGCAGCCCTGCTCCATGCTGGAGGCTCAGCCTGTGCTCAGGCCCAGTTTGTACTCGGGCCTGGTCCGTATTTAACTGTGCATGACCGGTAGGCCTCTCTGCGGGCTGGGTTTGAGGTAAAGCCAGGGCTGTAGGGCCCATACATAAGCCCCATATGCAGGCCCTGTTTGTGCATGCCTCATGCATAGACCCCATGTGTTGGCCTCAACCAGGGGTCTCATACACAGGTCCCATATGTGGATCCTTACACAGGTCCCATACACGGGTCCCTATATAGATCCCAAATACAGGTCCTATTCACAGGCCCCATACATGGGTCCCTACACAGATCCTATACACAGACCCCATACACTGGTCCTGTACAGGGGTCCCATACACAGGTCCCATATGTGGGTCCCTACATGGATCCCGTACACAGACCCCATACATTGGTCCTATACACGGGTACCATACACAGATCCCTACACAGATCCCATGTACAAACCCCATATATGGGTCCTAAACACAGGTCTCATACACAGACCCCATACATTGGTCCTATACATGGGTCCCATATGTGGGTCCCTACACAGATCCCACGTACAGACCCCATACATCAGTCCTATACAGGGGTCCCATCGCAGATCCCATATGCAGGTCCCTACACAAATCCCATGTACAGACTCCTTACATTGGTCCTATACAGGGTCCCATACACAGGTCCCATATGCAGATCCCTACACTGATTCCCTGTACAGACCCCATACATTGGTCCTATACATGGATCTCATACACAGGTCCCGTACATGGGTCCCTACACAGATCCCATGTACAAACCCCATACACTGGTCCTATACAGGGTCCCACACACAGGTTCCATATGCGAGTCCCTACATAGATCCCGTACACAGACCCCATATACTGGTCCTATACAGGGGTCCCATACACAGATCCCATACATTGGTCCTATACAGGGTCCCATACACAGGTCCCATATTCAGGTCCCTACACAGATCCCATGTACAATCCCCATATATTGGCCCCATCCCCAGGCCCTATATGCAGGGTCCCATTACAACCCCCCCCCCCGCCCCACAGTGTACAGCCCTCCCCCCGCTCCTCTCCCCCATGGAACAGCCCCGCTCCCCCTCCGGCTCTCAGTGGTACGCCCCGCTCCCCCCCTCCCCGGCCCGGTGGGACGGGCCGCGCGTGCGCAGTGCGCGGCCGGCGCTCAGCTGGGCTCTGTTTACAGCGGCGGGGCCGGGGGGGGGAGCCGAGCCTGAGGGGGGGCCCGGCCTCAGCTCGGTTCTCACAGCCTGCGACTGTGGAGGTCGGGGGGGTCGTAATTTGGGTTTGGGGGGTCTTAATTTGGGGCGAGGGGTCGTGATTTGGGTTTGGGGGGTCTTAATTTGGGGCGAGGGGTCGTGATTTGGCGGTGGGGGGTCGTAATTTGGGATGAGGGGGGCTTAATTTGGGGTGAGGGGTCGTCATTTGTCGATGGGGGGTCGTTATTTGGGGTGAGGGGTCTTAATTTGGCGATGGGAGGTCGAATTTGGGTTGGGAGGTCTTAATTAGGGAGCAGGAGGAGTCGTAATTTGGGGTGGGAGGTCGTAATTTGGGATGGGGGGGCTTAATTTGGGGGTGAGGGGTCGTAATTTGGGTTGGGGGGTCTGGATTTGGGGTAAGGGTTCGTGATTTGGGATGGGGGGTCATAATCTGGGGGTGAGGGGTCATAATTTGGGGAGGGGGGATCGTAATTTGGGTTGAGAGGTCTTAATTTGGTGATGGGAGGTCATAATTTGGGTTGGGGGGCCTGGATTTGGGATGAGGGTTTGTGATTTGGGATGAGGGGGGCTTAATTTGGGGGTGAGGGGTTGAAATTTGGCAATGGGAGGTCATAATTTGGGGAGAGGGGGTCTGGGTTTGGGGTGGGGTGGTCCTAACTTGGTGTGAGGGGTTGTAATTTGGGGTGGAGGGATTGTAATTTGTAGGGGGGGCCTTAACTGGGGTAGAGGAGTCATAATTTGGGGTTGGGGTGTGCTTAATTTGGGAGATTTCTAATTTGGTGGAGAGGTTTTTAATTTGGGGTGGGGAGGTTCATAATTTGGGGTAGGAGAATCTTAATTTGGAGGGGTTTGTATCTTGCTGGGGGGGGTCTTCATTTGGGGAGAGGGGTCATAATTTTGGGGGTTCATAATTTGGTGTGGGGTTAATTTGGGGGATTCTTAATTTGGGGTGAGGGGTTCTTAATCGGGTGGGGGCATTCCTTAATTTGGGCTGTGGGGTCTTAATTTGGGAGGTTCTTAACATGGTGTGGAGTCCTTAATTTGGGGGTGGGAGGGTTAATTAGGGTTGGGGGCTTCTTAATGTGGTGGTGGGGAGGTTAATTTGGTCGGAGGAGCTCTTAATTTGGGGTGGGAAGGGTGGGATTGAAGGCTGGGGCGGTTGCAGCTCATTTTTAACAGGGGGAAAAAAGGTGCTGCCCCTCTGTTGGGGTGAGGGGTTGTGCTGGTGGGCCTTGTGCATTGTTCCGGGGCTGCTGCCGCGCATCTGCTGCTCCCTGCTTCGTACCAAACCCCTTTAATTTCATTGTTCTGGGCCAGGCGTCTGAATGCAGCCACTCATGTCAGCCTTGTTTGTTTGTTTTTAAGGAGGAAGATGGCAACGGGCAACTGAAGGGATGCTTCAGGGCTGGAAGGCTGCTTGATTCCGTACCTGTACCGTGATCTGCTGCCGATCATCATTTCTTCACATGAGCTTCATGCCTGCTGAGAGCTGTGGAATTCAGTATTCTGCCTGAGGAGTGTGAAAAGTGCATCCGTACAAAGCGTGGATGGAGAGGATCTCATTTTAAAAGGTTTGTTACAAGTAAATCCTGCTCCAAGCCTGTGTTGCTCCCTCCTAATTAGAAGGAGGCAACGAAGGTAAACAAAAACATGGAATTACTCGAGGAGGAGTTTAAATGAGTGGGGTCTGTGTTCTGCTCATAAAACACTCATTTTATTGGAAGCCAAGTAGCGTTCAGTAAAAGTAGTTGTTTCAGAAATAACTGGCACCTGTTAGAGCTGGGATATTCCTTGATCCCCTTAGAAAATGTCTGCTACTTGTAGAACGTGGAAGAACGGTTGTTGATCACAAAGCTGAGCTAAAACCAGGTCGGACCAGTTGTCCCAGTGGGGATTGCATACACTGGGAGGAATTTGATTGGCATCCAAAGTGGAACGCCGTTAAAGGCTGTGGATTTACGCTTTAAATCTGAAAACGCTGATTTTAATTGCAAGAAGAGCTTAAGTGGAAAAAAGAAGCAAGTGTAAGAACTAAATGTACAAAAGGTCAAGGGAGTTAACGCCTTCAGGGAAGAGAGTGTTTTAATGCAGTGTTAGAGGGAGTGTATTAACGACCAAAGCAGCCCTCAATGAGTATTTGCAGTGTGATTTGTATATAAGAGGGGAAAAAAAATTGATTTGGCTGATGAACCCACCTAGGCCTTAAATTTGTGGTGTTTCCACTGTGAAGTAATACAGCACAATAGTTTTTCTGTAGAGAAACTGAAGGATTTATGATAGAGAGGCAAAGGGAGGCTTTTTTTTTTAAAGTTGTATTAATAGTCTAAAACTGGACTGATATGTTTGAGACAAGAATTTATTAAAAACTGCCTTGAGTTCCCTGTTGAAATATGTGTTATTTTGTGTGTCTCAACAGCAGGTGGTTAGGATGGTGTGTTA